TGGTCAAAAAAAAGATTACAGTAAGTAGAAAGTTTGAAAATAGGTTTGAGTGCTAATTCCTAACCTATTTCTAGGCAAAGTCACCAGTGATTAATAATTTTTATTTTTAAAAAAGTCAATGTGTCTTAAGTTTCTCTTATTCATTCTGCTCATTTTCCAGGTTTGGGAACGTGCAGGTGACAGGAGAGCCCTGAATGGAGAGTTGAGCAGGGAGCTGGAGCCATTAGAGAAACGCTTCAAACTCAAGGTCTAGGTTTTCCCAGATCTATTCTGGACACCTGGTAAACCTGCAGAGGCTGTTCCAGTACTAAAGCATGAACAGTACCTGTCACCAGGGACTACTCTGCTTTCCTCAGAAATCCCAAATATCCCTAGGGTTAACCAAAATCCTTCCATCCAATTGGTTGATTTTTTTTCTCCTACCACATTAACTGCTGAGGAGAAACTTTTCACAAGTTAACGAATGACTGGTTTTCTCTGGTTTTTCACCGACATTTTTTACTTTAAGGGGGAAGGGGAGTGTGGCCATTCCTCATTTTGGGTAAAAAGTGAAATCAACCTTCTTTATGATATTCTTTTTAAACAGGTAATTGTCAAGTTTTCCCTGCAACCGGGGAGCAACACCGTCGAGTTACTGCCGTTTTCATTTTCACAGCTTCCTCTCGTAGGGCGGGGGGGTTCTGTAACGCTCCCCTCGGCAGAAACTGCCCCCCTTTCAGAGTTTCATGACAAGGCACTTACTGGGACCGGGGACAGGAGGGAAGAGAGAATCGAAAGGAGATCCGGGAGGGTGGGGACCCCGGCTGTGAGAGACCTGGAGGTCCCTCAAAGAAGCCCAGGAAGTCTCCTGGAGACCGAGAAAGTGGAGGCGAAGGCGGACGGCTTCTCTGGCCCCGTCCATGCCCCCTGCAGAAAGGCTCGGCCTTTCCCAGCCCAGGGCGGGGAACCGGGGTCTCAAGCCGTCCGGTTAGGGGCAAGGGCGGAAAGCAGCCGAGGGGGAGAAAGTCAGGGAGGGGAGCCCGGCCGCTGCGGAGAAAGCCAGGGCGAGAGAGGGGAAGGGGCCGGGTCGCGGGGCCGGCCTGAGCGCCTCCCCCACAGGCCGCGGCCGGCAAATCTGCTGCCTCATCCCGGCGTCCCCGCTCCCGCCCGGCCGCTGCACTCACGATGCTCTCGGCCATGGCGGCCGCTCCTGCCTCCGGGATCGAGCCCCGGGCCGCCGCCGCCTGCCGCCCCGAGGGCCTCGCAGCCCCGGCCCCGGCCTCAGCCCCGGCCTCCCCCCGCCGCCGCCACCGCCGCTCCAGCTTCGCCCGCCCGGCTCAGGCAGCCGCCGACGTCCGTGTGCCCCGCTCAAGTCGCTCCGCCGGGCTAGAAGCCGGGAAACCAGGTTCCGGCGCCCGACGGGCCGCGCATGCGCAGGTCGGCGCGGCAGAGCCGCCGGTACGCGCTGCCACGCCCGCTCCCGCGCGGCTCCTCGCGGCGCTGCAGGGGCGAGTAGGAAAGTAGTTTCAGGAAGGTGAGATCCTACCTTCAGGTTGCCTTTTTTAAGTCTTTTTCAGATTAACATAAGGAAAACAAATGAATTTAAACTGCATTTTACCATGGCATTCACTCTAGCACAGGCAATAGAGTGAGACTCTGTCTCAAAAATAAATAAAAAACTGCATTTTAGATAAATGTTTCCTCACCACGAAGATGTCCCCAGATATTCCACCAGAGCCAGCTTCAAGCCTTGTTCTTGGTTTAATTCCCTGCTGCTGCCGTCCTGAAATTCTTAATAATTTTCCGACAAAGAGCTCCACATTGCCTTTTGCACTGGGCCCTGCAAATTTTGTAACTGAATTCGCCTATGATTGTGAAAAAAAATGTAATGAAAACCTCTAAGAGGCTCAAAGCGGTGTATTCTGACCCCATGATTCCATTTCAGATTGTATTTATTTATCTCCGGTGCGCAAGAAAGTTAGGAAATTGCTACTCTCACTTCCTCCCTGTCCCAGGCCTGTTCATTTCATTGAGTTCATGACTATCAGGGTGTCAGTGCTGACAACAGGTTCTGTTCTAGAACCTCAGTGTCAGCGTTTATTTGAAATTGTCGGCTGGGGGCGATGGCTCACGCCTGTAATCCTAGCACTCTGGGATGCCAAGGCAGGAGGATGGTTTGAGCTCAAGAGTTCAAGACCAGCCTGAGCAAGAGTGAGACCCCATCTCTACTAAAAATAGAAAGAAATTAATTGGCCAGCTAAAAATACATAGAAAAAATTAGCCAGGCATGGTGGTGGCACATGCCTGTACTCCCAGCTACTCCAGAGGCTGAGGCAGAAGGATCACTTGAGCCTAGGAGTTTGAGGTGGCTGTGAGCTAGGCTGATGCCATGGCACCCTAGCCTGGGCAACAGAGCGAGACTCTGTCTCAAAAAAGAAACAAAAGATGAAATTGTCCTATTCATTCTGTCAACAAATATATACCTAGTGTTACTTGGTGTGTGGCATGGCCCCAATGCTGGGGACAGATCTCTGCCCTGTGGATTTAACCAGCCAGAGGCGGATTATAAACAGACCCACAGCTAAGTCTGTACTGTCAGGTAGCGGTAAGTGCCTTGCAGATAGCAGCTACTAGATGGGCACACACAGGCACACAGCAACACAAAGGACATGAGAAACCAAGAAGGGGGCAGGGCGGGTGTGGGGTACCTATTGGGTACAATGAACACTATTCTGGTGAGGGGCACACCAAAGCCCTGACTTAAGCATCATACTAGATATCCAAGTAACCAGTATACGTGTAACCCCTTAATTAATGTTTTGAAATTAAAAAACAAAAACAAAAGTGCAGTGCAGACAACCAAAGCAGGGAGGGCCATGGAGGGTGATGAAGGCTATTTTAAATAATCCTGGCCAGGCGCAGTGGCTCAAGCCTGTAATCCTAGCACTCTGGGAGGCCGAGGCAGGCGGATCATTTGAGCTCAGGAGTTTGAGATCAGCCTGAGCAAGAGCAAGACCCTGTCTCTACCAAAAATAGAAAAAAGTAACTGGGCATGGTGTCACTTGCCTATAGTCCCAGCTACTCAGGAGGCTGAGGCAGGGGGATTGCTTGAGCCCAGGAGTTGGAGGTTGCTGTGAGCTAAGCTGACGCTACTGCACTGTAGCCTGGGCAACAGAGCGAGACTCTGTCTCAGAAAAAAACAAACAAGATGGTCAAGAGCCGGGTGAGGTGGCTCACGCCTGTAATCCTAGCTCTCTGAGGCCAAGGCGGGCGGATTGCTCAAGGTCAGGAGTTCGAAACTAGCCTGAACAAGAGCGAGACCCCGTCTCTACTATAAATAGAAAGAAATTAATTGGCCAAATAATATATATAGAAAAATTAGCCCGGCGTGGTGGCGCATGCCTGTAGTCCAGCTACTTGGAAGGCTGAGGCAGCAGGATCGCTTGAGCCCAGGATTTGAGGTTGCTGTGAGCTAGGCTGATGCCACGGCACTCACTCTAGCCTAGGCAACAAAAAGCGAGACTCTGTCTCAAAAAAAAAAAAAAAAAAAGATGGTCAAGAAAGGCCTCTCTGAGGAGCAAAGCTGCAAGCAGGGTCCCAGATGAAGCGCGAGGTGCAGGTGGCTGACGGAAGAGAGTAAGATGCTTGCAAAGGGCCAGTGGCCTGAGATGTGCTTGAGGGGTGCAGGCACATCAAAGGACCTGTGTAGCTGGCGTGTGATGAGGGAGGCAGGGAAGAGCTATGTCCAAAACGCCAGGTCCCACGGATTCTGCGCCAGGCGTGGTGGGAGGCCACGCTCTGCATGAGGGAGTGCGTCCAGGGTTTTAAAGCACAGGCTGGGCCAGGCACAGTGGCTCACACCTGTAATCCCAGCACTCTGGGAGGCTGAGGCGGGAGGATCGCTCAAGGTCAGGAGTTGGAAACCAGCCTGAGCAAGAGCGAGACCCCGTCTCTACTAAAAATAGAAAGAAATTAATTGGCCAACTAATATATACAGAAAAAATTAGCCAGGCATGGTGGCAGCATGCCTGTAGTCCCAGCTACTCAACGTGGGAAGAATCACTGAGGGACACGTGTTTTCTGATGCATTGTCACAATCCTGTCCCAGGTCTTAACACAAAGAATGATTTTGACCACACGTTGAATGAAGCCCATCTCATTTGCAAGAATATTCTTGCAGGCCGGGTGTGGTGGCTCACGCCTGTAATCCTAGCACTTTGGGAGGCCGAGGCGGGCGGATTGCTCAAGATCAGGAGTTCGAAACCAGCCTGAGCGAGACCCGTCTCTACCAAAAAATAGAAATAAATTAATTGACCAACTAAAATATATAATTACAAAAAATTAGCCGGGCATGGTGGCACATGCCTGTAGTCCCAGCTACTCGGGAGGCTGAGGCAGTAGGATCGGCTGAGCCCCGAAGATTGAGGTTGCTGTGAGCCCAGGCTGATGCCAAGGCACTCACTCTAGCCTGGCCAACAAAGTGAGACTCTGTCTCAAAAAAAAAAAAAAAAAAAAAAAGATATTTCCCACGTTCTCTTACCGGATGGATACAAGTACACCCACCTGCCTTGCTTTATCCTGATACTGGTTTCTATTCTGCTCAGACAAATCTTTCTGCTCTCCCACTCCCTTGTTCTTCCCGTGAATAACCCGGGGGAATACATGGGCACGTGGGCTGCTGGTGGGTCTCCTGGGATTGTTACTGTGAACCGAATTGCAGAGCTCTGGTCCCCTGGGGGGCTGCGGGACAAGGCCCTGAGCCTGCAAGGCTGAAGCCCACGCTGGGGCTATGCAGAGAAAGTCACGAGGCCGGCACTTACACGGCCCTCCCAGAGTTGCCCCTGCACAGAGCTCAGGGATCCATGGAGCTGAGGTCAAGAATTTGGGGCCAAGAAAAGAGATTGTCTGTGTCTGAACAAGCAGAGGCCTTAAGCCCTAAAATGTGACTCCTCACATGATCCAACTGTGACTTTGGCATCTGGGTGGGGCTCCCAGCTCCCCTGCTCTCCAGGCTGCGCAGTTCAGAGCAGCTCGGGGACACGGTCAGCACCAGCCCTGGGGCCCAGCCACAGAGGGACCAGCGTGTCTGTCCTAGAGCCTGTGCCGAGGGCGTCCCCTCCCAGTGTCCAGGATGGAGGAGGGGGAAAGAAGCCCCTTGCTGCCCCAGGTAAGACAGCGCCCAGGGCCTCATCCCAGGCTCGGAGAAGTTCCCCAGCCCTGATGTCCCATGGGAGGCCCCTGCTGCCACCCCAAGCCGTGGTGTGTCCTGGGGCTGGCCACTGGAAGGAGGCCCCCGGGGGAGCTGCTAGGCTTGGGGCTGGAGGCTTTACTATTTAGGCACCACCCTTCCCCGCTCTGCTGCTCTCTCAGCCCCATGCCAGCCTCTGGTGAGGGGATCTGGCAGGTCTCCCCACAATCTGGGGGGCAACCTCCGGCTCAGGGTGCAGGCGGGGGTGAAAGCAACATCCCTCACGGCCAGCTGTGGACACTCCTGGCCTCACACAGCCCCAGTCTGGTCAACATGGCACCTGCAACCTGTCCTTTTGTTCCTACTGACTTGCTGGAGTCTGGGGGGGCTGATAAACCACATTCCTGTCCTTTGTCCCAAGTTCAGAATGAATGAGCCCTGGATGCATTGTCAGACGGGCGGAGGGTGGGCGGAAGGACAGCTTCGTCCTGGTAAAACTGGATTGCAATGGGGTCCTTGCAGAGGCACCTGGCCACAGAGTCTTAGTTCTACCCTTTAACCAAACTTGTCACTGCCAAAACTAGGCACCTACGGGGCTGCCTCTTCCAGGACAGAGACAGACCCGAAGGCCCCTCCCACACCCGTCTGCTTGGCTGGCGTCTTGCTAGAGGGCAGAGTGGTTCCTTGGAAGGCCCTGCATCATGTAGCTGGTGTCCCCGGGCATCAGCCGCACTTCTCCCTGGGAGCCTGTCGGGCAGGGCCCAGCATAGAGTCCACGCTCAGTGCAGGCACGGACGTCAGCCAGGCTGACTGGACAGGCCCCAGACGCCAGGACTGCTTTCCGAGGTGGGGCAGGCAGGGCAGCTCCGTGGGCTGGCCCTCTGCCGGGTGGAGAAGCTCCCTTGTGACTGCGCAAGGTCCGTGCTGCAGGCAGGCACAGGCCAAGGCAGAGAGACACGACATCATGCTCGGGGAAGGCAGCCTGCCTGCCACACGCCTGCACCACGGGAGGGTTGGGGGCCCAACCTGCGTAGGTCGGCGTCCATTGAGCGCCACCCTGCTGAGTCTTCACCCTGGCCTCGCACAGGGGTGTGGTCGTCACCTGATCTAAAGGCTGGGCCCACGCGTCCGTAAGCAGCAGAGCTAGGACCTCCCTGGCCCTCCTGCTGCCCAGTCGAGCAAGACAAGCCCAAAGGCCCCTGGCTGTCCGGGCCTCTGTGCCTCCCCTTCCGCATTCCCCCATCCCTGTGGGCTCTGCCTGTTCTCCCCTGAGCCCTTGCTGGTGAGGTTACAGCCCTGGCAGATTATCATGGAGTCTGAGTGACTGGGGTCTCACCTGGGGGTCTCCCCCACCCCCACACCTCTTCCCTCTGCAGGACTCCACAGGCCAGAACCCACCCCTGTCTGTGAGCAGTCCGCCCCTCCCAAGCCACCCAGATCCAGCGCCTCGGCAGGGCCAGGCAGGGGCCTGGGGCTGCAGCTGCTGCCCCCCTGTGTCCAAGAACGGGGGCTGGACAGGAGACCCAGCGCCTCCCCTCCCAGCAGGGAGCACCTGCATCAAGTGTCTGACCGTCCTGTCCAACTTCCTCTTCTCCCTGCTGGGCCTGCTGGCCCTGGCGACTGGGCTGTGGGGCCTGGCCGTCAAGGGGTCTCTGGGGAGCGGGTGGGGGAGGCCTCTTCCTGCGGACCCTATGCTGGGGCTGGTGCTGGGGGGGCTGGCGGTCAGCGCAGTGAGCCTGGCCGGCTGCGTGGGCGGTCTCTGTGAGAACACCTGCCTGCTGCGCTGCTACTGCGGGAGCGTGGTCGCCTTCCTGATGCTCCAGGCCGTGGCGGCGGCCCTGGCGGCGGCCCTCTGGGGCCCGCTGCAGGACAGCCTGGAGCACGCCCTGCGCGTGGCCATCACCCACTACCAGGACGACCTGGACCTGGGCTTCCTCCTCGACCAAGTCCAGCTCGGGCTGCAGTGCTGCGGGGTGGCGTCCTACCAGGACTGGCAGCAGAACCTGTGAGTCCCAGGTGAGGGGCCCTGGGGCTGGAGGGGAGGCTGGCCACACGCAGGTCACATACGTGTGCGTACACACCCTCATGTGTACAGGCTCACACGCACATGCTCACACCTGTATGCACCCTTACCCATACACACTGACGTATCTCACATGCTCACAGTTTTCACATGCGTGTGTACACACTTACATGCACATGCACATGCTCACACAAAATACAGCCTCACACTCAAACACACACTGACACATAAATGTGTTCACACGTGTACTCACCGACAGAGCCCCCTTACACATATGCGTGCACACACGTGAGGTATGAAGTGCAGGGGCACTTGCTCTCCCTGGTCCATGGGCTCAGGGCCCCCATCAGCCCCTCTGGCTGACCCCAGGCCCGAGCCCAGGCCCAGACCTCCCGAGAGCTCCAAGGAGACGGCTCCCCACCGCCAGCGCCAGGCGGGCACAGGAGGCTCTTGCAGAGGCTGAGCCAGCAGCCTTAGAAAGCCACTTCGTTTTTTTGTCTTTTTGAGACACAGTCTCACTCTGTTGCTCTGCCTAGAGTGCCGTGGCGTCATCATAGCTCACAGCAACCTCCAACTCCTGGGCTCAAGCGAGCCTCCTGCATCAGCCTCCCGGGTAGCTGGGACTACAGGTGTGTGCCACCACGCCCAGCTAATTTTTCTATTTTTAGTAGAGAGGGGGTCTCACTCTTGCTCAGGTAGGCCTTGAACTCCTGAGCTCAAGCGATCCTCCCGCCTTGGCCTCTGAAAGTGCTGGGATTACAGGTGTGGGCCACTGCGCCCAGCCCCTCTTCAAGCTTGTCTCCCCTTCAGCCATCTCAGCACACATTTCCCTTTTAGCCCAGGCAGCTACTGCATCTGCCTGCAAACTCAGAGGGCTGCACACACAGGGATAAATCACAGAACGCTGGGTTTTGTGCATGTGTCTGTGTGTGCACGTTTGTGTGCACACATGTATGCGTGTATGTCTGTGTGTGTATATGCATGCTTGTGTGGCATGTGCAAGTGCGTGCATGTGCAAGTGCGTGCATGCGCGTGTTCTTGTGTGTATGCATGCACCTGTGCATGTGTGGCCACGGAAGTTCAGACATGCGTAGGGGGCACTGGACTCAGCGCCCGATCCCAGAAGAGCCGTCTTCCCGCTGCAGAGCTGACCCCCATGCACCCTCGCAGGTACTTCAACTGCAGCTCTCCCGGGGTGCAGGCCTGCAGCCTTCCTGCCTCCTGCTGCATTGACCCCCGAGAAGATGGAGCCTCTATCAACGACCAGTGCGGCTTCGGGGCCCTGGGCCTGGATGCGGACGCAGCTGGGAGAGTGGTCTACCTGGAGGGCTGCGGCCCCCCGCTGCGGCGGTGGCTGCGGGGGCAAATCCCTGCCGTGGGCGCCTCCGTGATAGTGGCCACGGTGGTCCAGGGGGCAGAGCTCCTGCTGGCCACCTGGCTGATTCGAGCCCTGGCTGTCCGCAAGGTGGGCGGCTTCCAGACCCACCTAACCCACCAGTAACCGCTTGCTTGGTCTGACTGTCTGGCCACGTCTGCCTCCCACTGAAGGGCCCCCGGCAGAGCCACCCAGCTGGCGGGAAGAGCTTGGAGCTTGTAGGGCGAATCCTGGTGGGGAACCTGCCATGAGCCGGGGCCCTGAACCTGGCCCAAGCCCCCTACCCCGAGTTCCGACCTCCTGTCCTGGGCCACCTCCCCTTTCTGGTCTTGTGGTGGGTGGGGGTGAGGTCCAGGCCTCTCCCTCCAGAGTGCGTTCCAGGAGCAAGTAAATATTTTATTGAGGTGTGTCCTTCGTACAGTGAAGGGCAGCGTGAAGAATTGCTCCCTCCCCAGTTCCCTACCTGGATGCCCGGAACCACCACAGGTGGAGTCAGGTTCCTGCCCTGCGCAGACCCGCTCCAGGGTCAGCCTGGCCGCATCTGGTTTTCACACAGTGGCATCCCCGAGGCCTTTCCCAGAAGGTTACTGCATGAATTGCCCCCTGTTCGCCGGGCCCACGTGCACAGTGCCCGGTGTGAAGGCCCCATGCTGGGGCCGTGTGTGCAGGTGTGCACAGGTGTGTGCAGGTGTGCACCTGCTTCCCAGGGTGTGGGGTCCCAGTGGAATCCCCAGGCCACGGGGGGGGGGGGGCGCACCCAGCTTCAGTCTCACTGTCTAAGGATGGGCTGGTGGTGCATCTGGGCGAGGTGCCCATTGTCTCCGTGCCTCAGTTTCTCCCCTGTCAGGTGGGGATCAGGAGGGCTGCTCCAGCCACCTGCACACTTTGCTGACTCCAGGCCCTGGTGTGGCCTGACTGTGTGAGCCCCAGGGCCACACAGCAGCTCCGGGAGGGTGTGATCCTGGGCTATCTTCCCTCCCAGCAGCCAACCCTCCCGCCCCGCCCTCCACCCCCACCCTGCCTGCCCAGCACTTAGGCGCGGCTGAACGCCATGGGCCCTACTCCCCCCGCACAAACACGCCCTGGCCGAGCAGGAAACACTAATTTTATTTTAAAAGAGGGACGGCAGGGGTGGACCAAGTTGAAAGGATGAGCTCCCAGCTGCTGCGATGGGTGTGCAGGGGCCTCATCCTTTGGCTGCCTGCCCCCAGGAGTCCTGCCACCCACCATGTCCACCCCAATGCAGGGAGGGGGAGCATCTCCTCACCCCCAGACAGGGAGGACAGGTGGCTGGGGTGTCCAGCCATGAGGAGGGGACAGTCTGGGGTCCAGCAGGCTCATGGGCTGGGATCTACCTCCCCGTCTCCCTGGGGGGGGTGACGCCCAGACCCTCTCTGAGGGCAGACCTCTGGGTGGCCAGTGTCTCTGGAAGTTAAGCAGGGCCTGGCCAGCCCCGATGGGGTGACCTGAGGGCAGGCGGTGGTCTCCTGGGGGCTGGCCCACAGCCCCGCCCTGGTGTCCAGGTGCAATCTGGGCTGTGGGGGTCGGATCTCCTCGGCAGGGTTCCTGAGCAGGGTTCAGAGTGCAGTGGGCAGCAGGGGTGAGGATCCCGGGACCCTGGGCAGGGGTCTGGCCCTAGATGATGCCATACTGGGCCAGCTCGTGCAGCTCCAGGTGGTTGAAGGCCTCCCAAGGGCAGATGACGGTGATGTCTGCAGGAGAAGGGGTATTGGGTCAGGGGGGAGCCCATGCCTCCGCCCCCCATCCCCTGTGACCCTGTCTCCCGCACCCCAAGTGACAGTGCAGACTGTGGCGTGGAGCCCTCGTCCCAGACACGCTAGCTGGACACCACTAGCTGCAAGGGAACAGAGGGGCACAGCAGGCCCAGGGGAGGGACCAGAGGAGGGTGGGCCCTGCTGATTAAAGAGCAGGGGAGGCTGGGGCTGGAAGGGACTCCAGGGGCCCAAGCATCTCTGGGGGGCAGGTGGGCAGACCCTTGGGTGGCATGAGGGGCAGTCATACCTGTTCCCAGGCCTTCCATTCCAGGGATGTCATCCCCAAACCTGCAAGACGGGAGTGGTCAGGGACGGTGGCCCAGCCCTCCTAGGGCCCAGGGGGAGAGACTGATGCCCACCCCCTGGCTGGTTTCCTTCCACAGACACAAGGGGAGTCTGCTGCCCAGAAAATCATGGATTCGAGGCCCAGAAAAGGGGGCCCAGCCCAGGTGTGCACAGGCAGGTGTGTGCCCATGGAGCGGCACAGAGGGCTGTGGGTGGTGCGCACATGTGCGTGTAGTTTTCCGAGAGGGCGTGTGTCGGTGGGTGTGCCTCTAGGCGTGCGTGTGCGTGGCAGTGCAGTGTGCGTGCACACACCCGGTGCAGGGGTCTGTGGCTGTGTCTCTGGGGGGAGAGGGTGTGTTTTCCAGGCGTATGTGGCAGCAGCATTTGCAGTGGGTGACAGGACCCCCAGCTCCCCTTCCTCCTCCTCCGGGTGTGAGGATAGGACCACCCTCAGCCAGGAAAGCGCCCTACGCCGTCCCTGCACCCCCTCCTGTGCAGCCTGGGGCTCCCGCTCCCCAGCTCTACTCACCCTTGGACGCCTTTCTTGGGGGGTTTGCTCTTGAACTGCCTGGTCTGTCGCTGCTTAAATTTGGGGGGCCCTTTCCTGGGGGTGACAGGTCCTCCCATCACCCTGGTGGCCGACCGGAACTCGGCCTTGGGCGGCTCCAGGTTCATGGCGAGGCTGGCAGAGGTGCTGCAGGGACACCTGGCTTCTGGGCTCTCTCACACTGCGGGCTGCAGGCAGACCAGGGTGGCAGTCAGCCCTCTCTCGCTTCCAACCCCCCATGGGGGTCTCAACCCTCCAGAGCAGAGGAGCCAAGACAGGAGCCCCAGCCCTGCCATCCTGCAGGGTGGCCTGGGCAGCCACCTGCCAGCTCCACCTGGGCCCACCTGGCACCTCGTTGCCCCACCCAACCCTGTCTTCCTTGTGCCCCCCCCCCGCCCCCGCCACTGGCGACACCAAGCCAGGCCTTGCCCCTGCGCCCCACATGGCCAGGCACACCAGACCCATCCCCCGGCCCCGTAACACATCCTGCACCAGGACTCCCCTCCACCTCCCCTTTCGGGGGGCCACTGATGACCCTGATACCTGCACCCCTGCTGCCCCTTGCCCTGCATTCGCCACCCCAAGGTGGCACGACTGGAGTCTGAGTCCAACCGATCGCTCTGTTGAAAGCCCTCTGGGGGCTCCTGCTGGGACTGGGATGGGACCCCAGTGAGCACCTGCCCCACCCCCCCAGCTTCCCTCCTGCCTTCCCTGACCCCCACTCCCAAGGTCACTTGGTGTCCCCAGGCCCTGATTTACTTCTTCATGTCATGTATCAGCTCAAAATCTGGTTTCATCAGTGTGCTCCTGTGACTTTGCTCAACTTATCTGTGTGCTGTTGCTTTGCGCCTGCTGCCTGTCCCCTGGGGCCTGGGTGCTGTCGGGACCCGTCACCCGTCCCGGGAGGCAACACAGTGCCTCTCGGTGCCATGCCGGGCACCCGGTGGTGCTGACGGACTATGACCACGAGACGGGGAGGCAGGGGCACCTCGGGAGGGGCCTGTCTCTGAATGAGATGCTGTGCCGGCTGGGCAGCCCCCACCCTCCCAGCACTTTGCACAGAGGGACAAGCCCAGGCTGGGGGCTGGGGTGTCTTCCCTCTGCTGGGCAGATCCCCGGGCCCTTGCTGTGCCGCAGCCTGTGCTGGGAGCGATGTCACCTGCCAGCGTGGCCTCACTGCTCTGAGTGAAGCCAGTGTCCTTGCATCCACTGCACAGGTGACCTCTCCTCCTCCTCTCCCAGAACCTCTCCCCAGATGCCCTAAGCCCCAGATGCCCTTGACCAAAGGCAGATCAGCTTCCTCTAAGCCTATTAGCACCGGAGGGAGACTCCTAATCCACCAGGGAGCTGCCATAAGCCCCACACTCTGCCAGAAGGTTCTGACGCTAAGCACATGACACGGACAGGAGGGATTGCCCCTGCCACCGGATACCCCAGGAGCCACCTCTTGGGGTCCCCTTTCCTGCCCCCTGGTCTTGCGGGCTGGGATGCCTGGCTCCAGCCTTGTGCCGACTGAGGTCTCCAGCCCTGAAACTGACTAGGGGGCAAGGATAGGTGGCCCCGTTCCGGGGAGGGAGGTTCTGCAGTGGGTGCTGGGGCACCTGGGATGGGGTAGTCCCCACCATGCTGCCCTCTGTCCCTAAGGTTCAGCCTCTGTCCCTGGGACCAGCACCAACCTGGGAGGATCAGGGCTCGGGAGCCCGGTGGCCCTGACTGCTCAGACCCCACCCCTCACACCCCCACACCCCGACGGCATAGCTTCTCCAGCCCCCAGCCGTGGGTGGCTGCGGGCAGCTGCAGGCCTTGATTGCACTCCAAGCCTCAGATGCCATCACACGGAACCTGCTGCCCGAGCTGCCCTGGCCCCACCCCAGCCTGTGACCGGTGCCTACTCAAGTCGGCTGAGCACATGTGGCCTGAGGCTCCCAGACCATCGCTGGTCTTGGGGATAATAGCCCTGTTTAACATGGGGGAGCAGGGGAGGTTTGGCTGGGTGGCCTCTCTGAGGGACAGGGTGGCGAGTGGCCTTCTGCAGACCCAGACTTCAGCCACGGTAGCAAAAGCCCATCTGCTCCCACCCCCAGGCGGGTGGCAGACAGTGTCACTAACACACTCGGGGGATTGGCTGTCAGGACAGCTGTGGGGCCGGTCACTACTCACCAGTGCTGGGCAGATCTCAGGGAGCCATGGTGCGAGTGGCTGGACCTCCCGCAGCAGGGAGCCGGCCTGGCCTTTATCCCTCTGCTGGTGAGCTGATTAGGACTCTGATCAGTGAGGTCACGCTGATGAGATTGGTGGGCCCCGAGGGGGTGGGGAGAAGGGGTGCAGTCAAGGACCTGCAGGAAGGACACTTGGCAGATGGGGCGGGACATGGAGGAGAAGTATGATTCAGAGAAAAAGAAATGGCCTTGGCTGCTGTCTTGGGCTGCCTGCTCCCTTTCATCCCCGACCTCTGAAGACCCCACCCCCGTGGCCCCAAAACCCTACGAGGCCTGGCCCTTGTCCTCTTCTGTGGCCTCAGTTTTCACCCTGCCTCGTGCTCCCTGTGCTCCCACGAACCCTCCTACCCCAGGGCCTTTGCACCTGCTGTGCCCGCTGCGCCCCCACTTCCCCCGGCTCCCTCTTCCTGGCGTCAGAGCTCTGCCTAGCATCCCTTGCGAGGACCACTCCCCAGGCTAGAGCAGGACACCTCCTTTATAGGACCTCTTGGCAGCTAGAACTTTCCTTCATCACACGGACCGTGATTTCGGGTTTGGATGAGTCTCGTGGCAACCCGTCTTCCCCACTGGAGACGGATGGACGCCGATGGATTTCCACCAGGTCCTGGGGTCCAGCCCAGTGCCAGGCGTTTCACACATGCTCCACCAGTGCCTGTGCTGAGAACGAACGGGGACAAGGTCTGCACCAAGGTGGTGGCGTCGGTAAGCTTGGGGCCACGCCGAGCTGGCTTTCTCCACCACCTGGTTTTGCACCCGGGAGGGGCCTGCCCTGCTGCAATGGGCAAGGCCAGTGGCTTCTCCAGGGACATCTCACACTGCATGGCCTCCGGGGCTTTGCCACAGCCGTCAAATTCCAGAATAAGGTTAGTTTTGTAGATCCACTGGGATGGGATGTATACACACATACACACGCGTGTACATGCAAACACACATCCACGCAGGAAATACAGAAAAAATATAAAAACCCCTCTGTATATCTGCATATTTTAGAACAACATAGAAAGCCTCTTTCTACATCTCTATTTCTGAGATGAGTTACCTCTGTGTTGTCCACCGCTCCACGGGGCCCCCCAGGACACACCACGCTTGAGCCCCCATGTGCTGCTGTGACACTGTGTCACAGGAAAAATCTGCCCATCTGGGCTGTTTTCCTTTTTAAGTCATCACTCCTAACCCTGACTCAAGAGTCTCAAGTTTGGAGTGTCTTTCATGCTTCAAAGCCAGAGCAACAGTGTACCATTACAATGATGGAATAATTTCTTTCTTTTTAAAAAATTATTTATTTTTTTAGAGATGGGGCCTCACTGCATCGCCCAGGCTGGTCTCAAACTCCTGCCCTCTAGTGATCCTCCCGCCTCAGGCTCCTGAGTAGTGGGACTACAGGCATGAGCCACCACCCACCACAGGTGGGTGGTCTGGGCTGTTTCCGAATCTGTGTAAGGATGGGGCTAAACTAGATGCTCAGAGTCAAGGGTCTAATAGATGCTTCTCATTATAATCATGTTTCTCTGAACAGAAACAAAACTGAGTGGTTCCAGATGACAGCCTGAACCAGTGGGTGTCTAATTACCCATTAGTAAGGGATCATATCTTGTGGTTTCATGGTTTTATTCCATTGTCCACAGATCTCGATCTCTATGAGAAATGCTGGCTCTAACGGAAGAGGCCCATTGATCAGCTCAAATCCCACCATGAGGTCACACTACAATCCTAGCTTTTCCCTTAAATGAGAAGAGACAAAATAGGTATAAATACCTTCACCCCCAGCCCTGTCCAGCCACTGATAACCAGGGTTTGGGATTGCTGGGGGGAGGGCTGCAGGGTAGGAAAATGTCTGTGGAATAGGACAAGCAGGGGATGGGGAATGTGCAGTGAGGCTGACTGATGGTCTGGTAGCCAGAACTGCGACCAAGGGCCTGGCTGGTGCACGGCAGCTGGCTCTGAAGCTAATGCCCTAAGCCTAACTTTAAGTAGTGCTTGGTTCACTGAGGGCTGATCTGCAGCCTCTACCAGACTGGTGCAAGGGGTGTCTCCCCAAGGACTCCTGGCTAGAGCGGTGCTTCCCAGGCTTCTGTGCCTGCCAACGGCTTTGCCACAGCAACTGCACAAGGTCAGACGGCCCTGCCTCTGCTGCATGCTGACAGACCTGGCCTTTGCCAGGACTCCTGCATGCTGGGACCTGACATAGCAGGGGGGCCGGAGTCCCTGGCGCTTGAATACTCCAGGAAATAGGGACTTATCTTGCCCTCACCGGTTGGCAAAGCCTGCAGGAGGTGCCGGTACTCAGGAGCCGTGCAATGCCAACCTGAACCTGCTTTCTCTGAGGAAACAACACAGGCCTTACAGACAATACAAAAGCCTACCGTTAAACCACCACAGAGAATTTATTTTCTCAGGTGAAGTCAATAAATAATTCCCCCTATTCCCATGGGACATGATGATGCGCTCAAATCAGGTGTGAGGGAAGCAGCCTGTTCCATTGCTTCTCCCTGGTGAAGCTGCTTGGCGGGAGGCTTTGTCCAAGGCGAGGGTGTGCCTGCCAGCGGGCTCAGCCGCCCTGCTTTGCCCGGAGCTGGATCTCCATCCTGATGAAGGCCTTGAGGTTCTCGTCGGCCACATGCTGCTCCAGGGCGGCCAGGGCCCGATCACCGCCATCCTGGAAGTGCCGCAGCAGCGCCTCCGCGTACTCCACCCACACGCAGTTGGGGCAGCCACTCATGCAGCAGTTTGTCGGGGGCTGGAGTTCAGGTGGCAGAGGGTGCTGGGGTTCTGAGGGGCCCCCGTGGGGCAGGGAGTCCTTGGGACTCTTGGTGCCACCTGCACTGGTCTGGGAGCCCAGCTTCACACAGTCTGCCCAGAACTCCCTGCAGCCATCACAGGCCCTCGCTCGGGGATGGTGCCTGCGAAGATTGCTTCCACCTCTGGGGAGCCTCCAGCAGCCGACCCAGCTGGAGAGCCAGCGTGGCCCCTACGGTGAAGATAAACACATGACTCTCCAGGAAGCTGGCCGTGCTGCCCCCAGCACTGGTGAAATTTCAGCCCTCCTGTCACTGGGCAGGTGGCTCTGTGTCCTTCTCAGCTTTCCCACTTCCTGCCTGATCTTAGACAAGTTACCTCACCTCTCTAGACTCACTTTGCCCATCTATAAAATGGATGGTATGAGTATGCTATGGCACCATTACTGAGAAGTGCTGGGCTCAGGGCCTGGCACTGGGTGTGCACTCCGGCAGATGCAGGCATGTAGGAGAGGAGCTCTGCCCTTCCAGCAAAGTGACTCCTCTTTGGACAGGAACCAGATAGGTGGAACCCTGTGAGCTCCTGGCCAGATGACCTCTACCCAGTACAGCCAAGCCCTAACCTCCTGCTCTCATAGACCATCCTGACTAATCGCATCATGCTTTATCTCTGTCACATGAGAAGCCCAGGCCGCTTGGGCCATCCCACCCTCAGACACTAATTCCCCAAAAGGCCCTAATGGGCAGCCTCCCCTCCCTGCCCCAGGCCTTGGTCCAGTCCCTGCTCTATTTACCCAGGATCACTGACTGACACACTACAAACTTCATTTATCTGTCTAACTCCTCCTCGGCCAATCTCCGAAGCCTAAAAGGGCACACAGCAGGTGCTCAACAGGTGCTGTAGAAGGGGAAGGTGCTCATTCGCTCCGGGCTATTCCTTCCCAGGGACTAGACGGCCACTCCACGGCCAGGGTTCAGAGCTCCTTCTGGAAGCTGCGCCCAGCGGGGGACCCTCGGACATGCCCCGGGCCGGGCCGCGCAGCCGGTGTCGGGGCGCCCTGCTCCGCCCGGCGCCAGGTACTTGCCGAGCTGCGAGTCGCGGCGGCCACCGCACTGCCTCCCCCTGCCACGCTCCGCCACAGCATCGCTCGCCGCCCGGGCCCCGGACCGACCCCTCCCGTCCTGAGTGGCGGCCGCCCTGGCCAACCGTGGCCCGTAGGGCGCTGCGCCGCTCCAATGAGGTTGCGGCCCGGCACCGGAAGCGGAAGTGACGATCTCGGGCGGGACCGTGAAGGAGGGCGGAAGTGGCTTCGCTTGGGAAGCTCCGTGTTTAGTGATGGCGGGTGCTGGACGCGGGGCGGCGGGGTCCGTGAGGACGGCAGGGCCCGGGAACCCGGGCCGACCGCAGGCGCGGTGGCGGCGGCAGCAGGAGTTGCGGGGGAAGCAGTGCTTGGCTCCGCGGCCGGGGCAGCGCAGGTGGGAGGAGGGGACGCCTCTGGGAAGCTTTCCTCATACCCCCCCAGGCCGGGCTTAGTGCCCTGCTTCGGTCTGGGCCCGTGGCCCACGCTTCGCGAAGATCGGTTGAATGAATGGAGGCGAGTGAGTCTCTGGCCTTGCCGTTTGCCACGTCCCAGCTGCCCCGTCTTTGCCGTTCTGGATGAGGTCAGGGAGTGACAGGCCCCCCTGGGCTTTCGGAGCACCTTTCACCCTGGCTCCAGGATAGTCTCTGGGTGAGGATGAGAGCAAAGGTCCAGCTCCCTGGACTGGCTCGCACCACAGCAGCCAGAGGTGGCCTCTGTAGTTTCTTTGTTCAGGTCCAAGCTTCTGTTTCTCTGATTCTGTTTAAGCTTTACTTGGGACGGGTCCCACCCTCGTGTTCTCCTTTCCAGCAAAGAAAAGAAGAAAGTGAATTGCAAGCCCCAAAACCAGGACGAACAGGAAATCCCTTTCCGTCTCCGGGAGATCATGAGGAGCCGCCAGGAGATGAAAAACCCGATCAGTAACAAGAAGAGGAAGAAAGAGGGTATGTGTGGGCCCATGCTGGGTGGCAGTAGAACTTTGTGTCTACCTAATTGCCCAAATATTTACGGGCATCTCAGGCAGAGGAAATATACTGAGACCCAGTGCTCAAAGGGTGCAGGAGTAGGAAGGCCACACATGGCGGGGGCCAACGCAGTGGCTGGCGGCAGGTGGTGCTGTGGTTCCAGAGGAGGCTTGAAAGGAACCCCTGGAGGTGGGTGGGGAGAAACCCTGGCACCTGGGGGTAAGGAGCGTTGGTTTTTGTTCCCCAAGAGTAGTGGAGATCCATCAGAGGTGTTAAGCAGGGAATGACCGGTTTAAGGGGGGGAAAAAGGTCACCATGTAATAATGGAGTGCGTGAGAGGTGGACCTGGCAGGCCAGTGATGATTCCTTAGACCAAAGTGCTCAGCTACAGCTGAGAGAAATGGGTGGATTTGGGAGTGTAAGGAGGAAATGGATCAGACCCCTCTGAGAAGCTTGCCTCCCTCCCCCTCCTCCAAGTCTGGGTAGGGCGCTCACCTGTAGACCTCTGCCACCCAGGGGCAGTACTCTTGCACATCTTGGAGAATAGTGTCCAGTGTATTTGTATGTACACATTTGTTTCCCCAAATGTGGGGTTGATTTTACTCCAGTGTTTTACAATTTGCGTTTATGCCTTAAGGTTTTCACTGGGGATTACGTGGCTGCCAAAGGGATAGTGAAATAAAGAGGTGAGGGGGGGAGTGGCAGAGGAGGTGCACTGGCCCTGGTGGAAGATGCACATTTTAAACCGTGGTGCATTGAATTGGCACTTTTTTTCTTAAATTATTTTAAAAACATAAACTCACATACATGGTAAAATCAAACAGCTTTGAAAGGTATGAAGTGAAGAGCTGGGATGTGGTGGTGGTGCCTATAGTCCCAGCTACTTGGGAGGCTGAGACGGGATGATCGCTTAAGGGCAAATAGCAAGACCCTGTCTCTTAAAAAAAAAAAAAAAAAAGGATACGAAGGGAAGCGTGAGCCACCGTTCACTGTCTTGTATGACCTTCCCAGGAGAAGTAATATGAACATTTTCACATATTTATGGTGTAAAACCTATACCTCAATTGTATACTTGTTTTGTATCCTGCATTTTCACATATAATGGATCTTACAGGTCTTTCCACATTTCTACACCTAGCTCTAGTGGGCTTCCTTTAACAGCTGTACAGTGAAGTCTGAGGATGAACAGAGAACTTGCTCAGCCAGTCACCCACTGATGGACATCTGGGTCGCTCCTGGCTTCCTCCTTCAGTGGGGCTGTGGTGGACATCTTTGACATGTACCAGTGGGCTGTGGGGATCACGACCCTAGGAGCACCTCGAGCTGGGCATTTTAGATCCTCTTTCGCTGCTGCGATTGGGCTGCTTTCAGCTGCCTGGTCTTTCCAAGGGGAAATGAGCATGGGCCACCTGCCTGGCACCACCTTCTCCCCTCCTGGCTCTCACCCCATGCTTCCTCTGAGGCCTCCTCTTGTCCTCAGCCCAGTTGGCTTTCAGAAAGACCCTGGAGAAGGAAGCTAAAGGAGTAGAGCCAGACATCGCCGTCCCCAAGTTCAAGCAGAGGAAGTGGGAGTCTGACAGGGCCTATGTCCATCGCATGGAGCAAGAGGCCCAGCATGTGCTGTTCCTCAGCAAGAACCAGGCCAACCGGCAGCCAGAGGTGCAGGTAGCTCCCAAGAAGGAGAAGTCTGAGCGGAAGAAAGCGTGAGTGGGGCCGAAGGGAGTGGGGATCTATCCCTGGAGGCCTGGGGGAGGCAGGGCTGTGGGTTTGGATAATTGTCTTATGCAGTGACAGTGTTTTGTTGCCATGGGGCAGCCCCAAACTACCATGGCCTGTAATCCAGGGAAATCGTGGAAAGCAAGTAAAACCCTGGCCAGGTGGCAAGTGTTTTTATCCACATCAGAGCTTTTTAACCTGGGGGTCGGGAAGAGTGTGGTTTCAGGGAGGCTGTGAAACTTCAGAACCCTGCAAAGACCTTGCTTTGTATTTGCTTCTCTCTAAAAGTTTCAAAGCTGAATGAGGTCATGGGCCCATCCACCCAGGGCCAGCTGCTGTAGGAAAGTGACCAGAGCTGAGGCTTGGTGTTTGCCCTCTGCCCTGTAGGATCAACGGGGCAGAGGATGTTGGGGTGAGGGTGTCTTACACTCCCCTGCCTGGGCCCAGACTGGGATTGTTTCCAGTGTTCCTCTTCCTGATCCAAAAGAGATTCGAAAGCATTTAGCTATGTGCAAGTTCTGTGGTCTCTCTCAGCCCTGGCTTCCTCATCTGTAACAGGGAGGCAGCACTGCCATTTCGAGGTCCATGTGGGTCCCTTGCACAGTCCCTAAGGATGGTGTCCAGCACAGCAGTAAGCCCACTGCAGGCTTTGGTTCCCCTGCCTGTCCTGCCACCTACTGCCTGTGCACCACCTCTCTGGCCCGTGGGCAGGGTGGAGAGGAGCAGTTTCAGCAAACTAGGGCTTTTTTTTTTCCTAAGAGATGGGGATCTCACTCTGTCACCCAGGCTAGAGTGTGGTGGCTTGATCATAGCTCATTGCAGCCCTGAACTCCTAGGCTCAATTGATCCTTCTGCCTTAGCCTCCCCGGTAGCTGGGATTATAGGCATGCAGCACCATGCCTGGTTAATTACTTTCTAAAAACAGTTTTTTAGAGGCTGGGGTCTCACTGTGTTGCCCAGGCTGGTCTCGAACTCCTGGCCTCAATTAATCCTCAGACAAGAGTTTTTTGAGATTCCTTAACCAGAGCTTTTCAGATGAACCAGCCCAAGCTCTTTCTTCCTTTTTTTTTTTTTTTTTTTAGAAGCCCATATTGTCTTTATTTATCTATATATCTAACATATCTAATATATCTATATTTTATCATGGGATTTTTGACATTACTTTCGTTTTTTAATAAATATTGCATTAAGATATTATTTATCTTGATTATTGCTTCTTTTTTTGGGGGGGGGATTGTGGCATCTCCTTAAATTTTTCACCTGAGTTGAGGTGAGGACCTCGGCCACTTAGTCTCTGTTCCTGCAGCATCTTGGTGTCCACTTGTTTCTGCTGCTCCTTGTTTTTTTTTTTTTTGAGACAGAGTCTTACTTTGTTGCCCAGGCTAGAGTGAGTACCGTGGCATCAGCCTAGCTCACAGCAACCTCAAACTCCTGGGCTCAAGTGATCCTAGTGCTCAAGTGATCCTCAGCCTCCTAAGTAGCTGGGACTACAGGCATGAGCCACCATGCCCGGCTAATTTTTTCTATATATATTAGTTAGCCAATTAATTTCTTTCTCTTTATAGTAGAGACGGGGTCTCGCTCTTGCTCAGGCTGCTCGAGGTCAGGCTCCTGACCTCGAGCAATCCGCCCGCCTCGGCCTCCCAGAGTGCTAGGATTACAGGCGTGAGCCACTGCGTCTGGCCTCTGCTGCTCCTTAACGCCCCGTGTGGGGACAGGGCAGCCTGCTCTGCTACACGTTTCCATTAAGTCTCAAAATCTCGAAAAACAGATGATGAAAGAATAAGCCAGTGCTCACTTTGCAGCACGAGTACTAAACATCGGAACACAGAGAAGATTAGCAAGGCCCCTGCGCAAGGATGATACACAAATTCATGACACGTTCCATTAAAAGAAAGAATAAACCATAAGAAAATTTTAAAATGGTTCCCTGTAGGGGAAGAAGGAAATAAAGTAGAGGGGAGAGAATGGGAAACTGAAATTCTTTGACTGTATCTGCTTGTGTAGATTTGACTTTGAAATCATAGCAGTCATCGTTTAATTATTACATAATTATAAAAAAAGTTTAAAATGTGATAGTTAATTTCAAGTCCAGCACAAGCTTTCATTGGAAGTTAAGAATAATTGCTACAGCTATGTGTTTTTCTTCTTTGCTGATGTAAAGAGATACACCTTTTTAATTCTCTAATAGCTCTGAAGGTTAGAGAGATTGTTTTCAGCTTTGCAGAGTCCCTGTTTCTGAATTCTTGTATTGCCTGTAGTTCCATTAGCCAATGAAAATTACATCACAGAGAACCTAGCCCCGATGCTGCCTAAAGCCACAGTGATCTCCAGAACTGCTGTTTGACATAAAGATTCCAAAGTCACCTTGAAGGTGGCATGTCACATGTGTGATACTTTGCTAAACCCTTTAAACACAGTAGCACGACTGACACTGGCCGGATGATTCTCTGCAGTGGGGTCCTGTGCATTGTAGGACATTAGGCAGCATCCTGGGCTCTACCCACCAGGTGCCAGTAACTGCTGCTAATGTGACAACCGCATGTCTGTATTTGACATGTCAAAGGTTGCCTGGGGGCAGCCACCCCTGGCTTGGGGAGCTTAGAGGAGCCTTTTGGGTTCAGAGCCCTCTGGTGGATGGCTGTGGGTTTTGGGGTGGTATGGGGAATAAGCTAGAGGCAGCCGACTGGGTCCCAGCTCAGTCACAGGGCATTCCTCGTGGGCCACGTGGCCTCTGCCTCCTCCTCGGGGGAAGAGAGAGTTTAGGTCTCTGAACAGCTCTGTGCTTTCTTCCCCAGGTTCCAAAAGCGGCGACTGGATAAAATCCGGCAGAGAAAGGAGGAAAAAGCAGCAGAAAGGCTGGAGCAGGAGCTGTTCCAAGGTAGCTTTTCCTGCAGCAGTGGTGTCAGCTGTGGTCCTGGTGGCCACAGGCCTGCTGCCCACCAGTCCCAGCTGCAGTGGGTACTTGCAGTCTGCCCTGGGGCCCATGCCCTCACACCAGTGGACAAGTGGGTGTTCTGTGTCCTGGCCCTAGGTGGGGGGTGGGTGAATAGCCACGTGGGTGGGTAGGGGTTCCGGGTGCCAGGGCTTCAGTGGCTGTGTGGGTAGCAGTCCTTAGTTGTACTCTGTCCCATCAGACACCGTGAAGTTCGGTGAAGTTGCCCTGCAGCCTCCAGAGCTGACCGCCAAGCCCAGGAGGAGCATAGCCAGGGACCAGGTAGGCCTGGGCTGGTGGGAAGGGAGTTGTTCAATTTGTTCCCCAGTGCTGCTGCCAGGAAGCAGGTGTCTTGGGCGCTGTGTGCCCTGTCTGTGGCCATGAGAGCACTACATCCTCGCTGGGCGTAGAGCTCCTGGATCATCAGGCCTTGCTCTCTCTTCTCCTTTCCTCGCCTGTGCCTCACTCTCCCCTCTTCCTCAGCCTGGCAAGAAATCGCTGATGCTGAGGATGCTTCTGAGCCCTGGTGGCGTGCCCCAGCCTGGGACCACCTCGCTAGCGCGACAGCGGATCGTGGGGGAGGAGAGGGAGCGGGTCGTGCAGGCCTACCGAGCGCTAAAGAAGCAGAAGCAGCAGCAGCAGCAGCAGCAGCAGCAGCAGCAGCAGGGGCTGCAGCCACCAGGGCTGCCCCACCTCACCTCCAGGAGGAAGCCAGAGACACGGCCGTGAGGGGCCTGGCCACACTTCTGGGATGGCGCTGGGGCCATCACACCTGCAGAGATGGCAGGTCCTTTTCCTGGGACACGTTCTCAGTGCCAGGAGAGGTCTCCAGGTCTCTTCTCCCTTGTTTTCCCCCCAAAGCCTGCTCTTTCATGAGTGACCATCCATGGGCCTATGTCCTGCACGGGAGGGTGCTGCCCTGTGGACCCCACAGACAGGAGCCAGGCTCCACTCACAGCTTTGTTTGTTCATTCTGAAAGAAAAATCCAGGCTGAGAAACAACCCAGTTCCGCTTTAGGGCTGACCCAATCCCATAATCCTGTCCCTGAACACCAATGAATGGTAGAGACTGCTTATTTAGGTCCCTTCCTCACCCATGGGCCTGTGCAGGGGACCATGAGAACAGGCCCAGTGCTCACCCCACCAAGGTTGTCTGGGTGGATGTGGATGGCAGCATTTACACCAACGGGGTGGGGCAGGTCATCCCCATGGGGCAGGCCTCAGGCAGGTCCAGAGCCTGAGCGGTCAGAGGGCAGGGCCTTGCCAGGTTTCTCTCTTGCCCCAAAGGGGAACACTGGGCCTCAGCCTCTCCAGGTGAGGGAGGAACATGAGGCAGTGGAGGCCGACTGTTCATTGGCCACCGGGCCCCTGGCCGCCTCCCGTGAGTGCTCTGCCACTCCCGAACCTGGTCCCAGAGAGAGCTCAGGAAATGGTATCTCAGCCTGGCTGAGCAGCCCTGGAGAGTGTGAGAAGCAGTGTGTGATCTTTTTCTGTCCTTCCCCAACTTTGCATTTTTTAGAATGTTTACTTTAAAATCAAAAAATTTAAATTGGGGAAGCTATACCTGTGGTCGTTTCCATGTGATCAGATTCTGCCACCTCATGGCGCGCTGGTGGGTGGCCCCAGCCTCTGCACCTGGATGGCAGGGGTGACGGTTGCCTTCATAGTGGCCTGAACTCACTGCCAGGCCTCCTGCAGCAGTTGAGGGTGGGTGGGGACAGGAGTGGCCATCGGGCAGCACTCCCACTTATTGAGTGATCCCAGTCGTCTGTGATGATTTTAGATGTCGACTGACTGGATTAAGTCAGTCAGATTTTTTTTTTAATTTGAATTTTGATATTTTAGATTTTTATTTATAAATGTTTTAAAAAGTATAAAATGTTATAATTATACCATAGTACAAGAAGCACAGCAGGGTTTCTTCTCGTCTGCTTGAAGGAAGGTCTTCACTTGGGTTGGTGAACACAGCATGAGTGTGGACTCACGGGGCATGTGGCATGTTGTCCTCAGTGTTGATTGCCAGCCTGTAGGGTTCTTTACTAATAAGGAATGCCCAGTGTGTCCATCACCATTTGAATAGCTTGTGGGGGGGGTGTGTGATTTCTTCCATGCTATCTCAAAACCCAATCTAGCTTAAGTCTTGAAACTATTCTGGTCCTTACAGCTGTTTCTGGAAAAAAGGGAATGCTTACAGAAGAATTCTTTTGTTTATAAAGCATTCTTTCATTATCCATGTTGTGTTTACGGGCTGTAAGTTTGTAGAGACTATAAATACGGTCAACAACTTTGGACCTACTTCGTACATCAGAGGCTCAATTTGTTGTTTTCAATAAAATAGCCAACAAACAAGTTTTTGTGAAAATGCTTCAACCCTTGTCTGTAACTTTGTCACCAGGCTTTTCCCGGTACATCTGCAAAAGCTCCAGCAGCGTATCTATACAACATCTGTACACCCACACAGCTGCTGAAGTGTTACTTGACTGCTTCAGTAGCTCTGAGACTATCCCTGTATTTTACCTTTTTACATTTTTTTTTGAGAGAGGGTCTTGCTCTGTCACCCAAACTAGAGTGCAGTGGCATGATCGTAGCTCACTACAACCTCAGACTCCTGGGCTCAAGTGATCTCCCTGCCCAGTGTCCTGAGTAGCTAGAACATTAGTGTCCTTGGCATGTGAATCTCCCAGAGATTCAGGACTGGATAGAGCTGCTGGGGGTGAGGCCACAGGAACCTGCACTGCTTTCATGCCAGGGTGCCTGGACCCACAGAGCCACTGGAGTACACAGGTCCCCAAGGGCTGGGGCCCCTCCCTTGGGGGACAAGGCCAGGAGGGCACCCAACACCCCTACCCACCCCACAGGACACTCCAGTTGACAAGGTCTCCAGACAAGTTGGGACCTGAGGGTTTTGTGAACATGGTTCATTCAAGGTGACCCCCAGCACACGGCCTGTCAGGAAGCAGGGGGAGGCAGTCTTACCTCCCTGACTGGAAGCCACCCTTGCAAACCTATTGAGGCGGCTCCAAGGAGCGTGGGCTCCAGCAGCTCTGCCAAGGGAGGATTTCCATCACAGGATGGGGATCCCAAAGTTCATTGCCAAAAGCCTCTAACGCCAGTGACCTGGGTTCCATCCTCTACCCACCGTGGGTCTCTTCCTTTGTCCAGTTTTGACTTCTTCCTGCTCAGTGGCATAATCCTCAGGAATCTCCGTGGAGCATGTCAAAGGAGGGAAGTTTGGTGTCATGTGGCAGTTTGAAGTAGAGCTGAAAGCTGCTGGGAGGGAGCCCGGTGGGGTGGGGGCCAATGAGCCCTGGCAGGAGGGTGCAGGGCCTGAGCAGTGTGGCTCTGCCAGAGGCACCGGTGGTGCCAGGAACTTGGTGGAAATTGCATGCTGGGACACAGGACAGGCAGGTCTAGACTGTCTTCAGAGGTGAAGGTCCCCCATCCCAGACAAATCAGGTGCTGGAGCACCCAGGTTCCCTTGAGGCCAGCATGGGCCAGGTGTGACTTCGAAAGGCCCTTAAGCCTCCCCAACAACTCTACCTGTGCCTGCCTCATTCTGAAGATGCTGCCAAAAGGTGCACTGGGGGACTGGGTGTCCTCCAATTCTGGGCAAACTGAAGGAGCTTGGGAGCCAGGGCCACGAGGGGAGACTCCAGAGCTCACAACCAGCGCCAGCCCACGCCTAGGATCCTTGTACTCTCCGCTGACAAACGTGATGAATTTCAACTCTGAAGAATCTCTTCAAACATTTGGCGATTTTAACCAGGCTTTACTCAAGTCCTCTGAAACTGGGGGCTGAGAGCCAGTTATATGGACCCCAAATTGTCCACAAAATCTTCTACAAGGATCTATCGCCAGGGCTCAGAACACAATACTCTGAAGTATGGCACTTGGCATGCTGAGGACTTGGAACTAAGGGAAGCTGGACAGCCTCAACTGGACCTGGACAGCCAGGTCTCTGCTCCTCTGCTCTCTTGTCTCCCACCCCCTCTCCCCTAAAGCAATGCACAGAAACCAGAATTATTCTTCCCCAAGGCGGGTCAGAGAAACTAGGATTCCTTCCCTCCAAACCAAGCTACAAAACCTGGAAAGGTCACTCCTCCCCCTTGGAGACCCTCATTCCGAGGGGCCCACCCCACGCCCATGGGAAGGAAACCTACACAGGGAGGCCCTGCAGGGTCCCCATGAGAATATCACAATTAGATCATATTTTTTAATCACATGGCCATCCATTCTTTATCAAACCTAAGAATAAAAAAGTCTTCCCTGGGTCTTGGGTCTTCATTCTAAGGACTCCTGTGTCATAGAAAACTTAATTAAATGTCATGCTTTTCTCTTGCTAACCTGACTTTTGCAATAGGAGTGTTGGCCACGACCCTTATGATGGCTGAGGAAAGGCCTCACACCTTTCTGGTCTGTAGTGCCAATGGGACAGAGACCTCAGGTGTCTACATCTGCCTGTGGCATGCAGGGGTGGATGGAGTGGTGTGTGATGGTGTTTACCTGGCGTGGCACCCAGCAGTGGCATAGGCATTGCACACCCAAGAGTGATGACAAACCCTCCCAATGACATGTGATGCAAGGCCTATCACTTCAACTGGAAGGTGAAGAGATACCAGCCTGAGCCACCCTGCAGTGTATACCAAGAACTTTTTCCTGGGTGTCATTTACAACCTTCCATTTGAATAGAGACTCCCCTCCCCTTACCAGCAATGTGGATGGACGGCTGGACAGCTCGAGGGGGCTGAGGCCCGGGGCCTGCTGCTCCAGCAGCTTTGTGCCTAGGAGGAATGGCGAGTGCACAGCCCCCTTCCGAGGCTGAAGGAGCCTGAACTGCCAGCTGAGACAGAGAACCGTTTATAGAAAATTCACAACCACTCTCAGGACTACAGTTTCTTACTTAATTGCTATAAGTCAAACAGTGGTCCCGAAAAGGTATGTCCAAGTCATAACCCCTAGAATGAGCAACGGTGACCGTGTTTGGGAAAAACGGTATTTGCAGATGTAATTACAAATCATCCTAGATTTCCAATGACAGGTGTCCTTGTAAGGAGAGGGGACACAGATCATGTGAAGGTGCAGGTGGGGACTAAAGCTCTCCAAGGCACAGCCCAGGAATGCTAAGAATTGTCACAGCCACCAGAGGCCACTAAGCCACTAGGGACAGCCAAGGAATGGACTCTCTCTCAGAGCCTCTGAAGGAAGTCATCTTTTTGACACCTTAACTTTGGACTTCTGGCCTCTAGAACTGTGAGAGGAGCCTGTTTTAAGCGTCCAGTTTGTGGTCATCAGTTCTTGCAGCCACAGGACACCAGCGCATCAGCCAACACAGTGAGTGCTCTCTTGCAAGCAGCCACGGCTGAGAGGGGAAGCTCAGGCCAGACACGGGAACGGCAGCCACCACCTCCTGTGCTGCTCCTGAGCCTCTCTTCCCATACCCATGGCAGTCTATGCACCCTGTGGGCGCCTCAGCGCAACACATATTTACTAAACATGTGAACTGGTGAAATTGGTGGGTCTCGTTTCTAACTCAAGGCTTGTTTCTTACTATCACATTCACCTCATCCACCTCACACCTGTGGTGGGGGGGGACACATGGCCAGGGTAATGGGAACTCAAACATGTTGGAGCATGTGCTACAGGCCAGAGACCAGGCACTGGTGGTGCCATGCAGTCCCAACACCTTGGGCAAAGTCTTGTGAGTCTCCTGGCAGGAAGGGAGCAAACCCCAGGAGCACCACTCCCGGGATGGCAGGACACTCAGCCACCTGCAGGCCCATCCTCTTCTCCCAGCCTGACAGTCTTTTCGGAGGCCAGATGTCAGGAACTTCATATTCTGGATGCCTCAATTTACCCATCACTACGACTCAGCACAAAGCCCTATCATCTAGGGTCATTCTGCCCCCTTTAAGGACAAACCATTGGAGGCCAAGCGATGCCACCCTGTGCCTCTTTTCTCCACAGTGCGGGACAGCCACATTTCTCTGCCTTGTAGTCAACTGTTGGTTCTATGGGTGTCCTGAAGCCAGCGTAGCACCCCTGCCAAGCCAGTGCCTTTCCAGGCGCTGATTTCTGCCATGGTGATGTTCTGCTTGGCACAGGCAATGATGTCTGGGAGCCGGATTAATGACTTAATCTCTTCCATGGTCATGTAGCAAGGTAGGTCACTAGAGTTAAAGAAGTGTCCTGTAAGAATGGTGGCTGCCACAAACCTGCCCCCAAGCCCCAGCCACGCCTCCTCCTTCAGGAGCCATGTTCCTGGCCACACTGGCCAGCTCCCAAGGAGCTCCTCCCTGGGGCCCCCTCTGTGTTCCCTCTTGGCTCATGATCCGTACATTTTATTGAAGAGTATCAAGACCGATGCTTCTGCAAGTTGTTCTGCAGAAAGGAGACCCAAGAGCTGCACACAGGACACAGAAAGCTGGGTGGGGTTAGAGGCATCCATCATGAACTGGGGAGGAAGAAAAAGACATCCATAACACCCTGTTGTGACAAATGGTCCTTGTCAAACATCCTCCCCTGGGCATTATAGACCAGGCTCAGGTAGAACAAAGTGACTTTAAACAAAGGGCTCTGGAATAGGCATAACTAGAGAAAAATGCATTGTATGGGATGACCTGGTGCCACCTGTTTCTGTTTTCATCTACATTGAAGTCTCCGTACCCATCATTTCCCATCCTGGAATTTGGGGTACAGGCCTTATCAGGAGGGGACCCAGAGGGATATAGAAATCAAACATACACACGAAGACATATCCAGGGGAACAACACAGAGTGGGGCTGGTTTTCCGCAGAGAACAAATTCAGCCCTCAGTAAACACGAGAAATCAGACTGGGAGCCCAGCAGAAAGCAACTCTGGTGTGGGCTCGGTTTCCTTGACTAGCACTAAAGAAACTCAACTCCATCCTATCCAAAGCGAGGTCTGGACTAGACAGCACAGAGACATGCACATGTGTCCCTAAAGGAAGTGCACGGAATTATAACCTACCAGGAGAGAACGGCAATTTCCATAATAACTGGACCAGATGGGGCCCATGCAGCCCCCCAGCTCCCGGATGGTGATTTTTCTCTGAGCCATGATGTCAGTAAGATTGGTGCCCACCTGTGAGAAAACCCGAGATGCAACACAAAAACAATACGCTGTCCCGTTGTGAACTCCCTGAGAGCAGCTTGCCCACACTTCACAGCGGCCAAACCCCGCAGGCCCATTCTCCAAGGGCTCAGGCCCTGCGGCAGGACGGCTCAAAGATGCTTCCGGGCATCCAGGGCCCTAGCCTCCAGGGCTGGCTGTGGCCCCGGCAACCACGCCCACCACTGGGATTCGCCCTGGGGGCGACCACCGAAAGGAATCCCTTGGGAGAGGAGAGGAAAAGTACCCACGGGAGAGCAGCGGGCTCCGGTGTCCCGCCGGACACCCGCCACGGCCGCCGCTCGATGCAGCGGAGAAGGCTCCTGTCCACCCTGGGATGCAGCGTCCGGGTAGAGGAGCCTGAAGCTCTTTGCAACCCGCGGCCGTCACCCTTTCCAGTGAAACCGGCGGGATGCGGACACTTACCGTGGGCCGCGTCGGGGGTGGCTCCCCCAGGTCGCCCGCCCCATCCGGAGAGCTCAGCTGTGCGGGGCCGTCAAGGACCGGACCGAGCGGAGTAGCAGGGTTGAGGCCCAGCCCGGGCCCCTGGGCGTCCCAGCCCCGGTCCCCTTCGCCCCCAGGGGACCCCCAGCCCCAGCCACCGGGAACCCGCCCGTCCTGCCGCGGAAGGATATTCTGCAGTCGTTTCACCAGCAGCGTCTTCCCGACGCCGGTAGCTCCCAGGAGGAGACACATCCCAGCCCCTCGCTCCACCAGGCACCCGTAGCTCTGCGCCGCGACGCAAAGCCCGCCCTCATTGGATAAGCCTCGCTTACCCGACTGCTGATTGGTTCTCGGGGTTAACCGTCTCAACTGGCGCGGTCCAATCGACGCACAGCGTCTGGGGGAAAGCGGAAGGCCCCGCCTCTCGAGGCTCGGGTCCGCGCAGCAACGTGCGCGCGCACGCGCGGGAGGGAGGGGGAAGACGGAAGCGGAAGTCGGGGGCGCGCCAGCTCGGAGCGAGGTAGCGCCCGTGGCGTCGGGTCCTGGTCCGAGGTGGCCATGGGGCGAGGCAGCGGCACCTTCGAGCGTCTCCTAGGTAACGCGCCCCCGCCCGCCGGCCGCGGCCTGCATCCGCCCGGCGCCCCCGCCCGGCGCTGAGTCAGCGCGGCCCCGCGGTCCCGAGGGGCGCAGGCCGGCTGCCCTCCCCGCCCGCCGCCCGGGCCCACTGTCCCCGGGCGCGCAGCCGCCAACCCGCGGCCCGGGGATTCCTGGCCCAGCCGCGGGGCTCCGTCCGCGGGCGTTAGCGAGCCTGGGCGGCCAGGGTCCGCGCAGCACCGGCCGCCGGGTCCGCGGGCTCCTCCCTCGGGCCCGCGCCGTCGGCCGACCTGCCCTGGCCGGTGGGCCGCGAGTCCTGAGTCATGAAGGAGCTGACTCAGACATCGGAGCCTCCCCAGGGCTCCTGACCCCGACGCCGGGCCCTGTAGGGCGGAGCCGGTCGTGTCCTGCCCGGGCTTCCGCGGGGACCCAGCTGGCTCCAGGGTCTGCCCGGAGCCTTAGGAAGGCGCTTGCTATGTTTTGGACGTGGCAGCTGATTCTCAGCCTCTAGAGTTCACACGTTTTAGGAGAGAAAGAGAACATTTATGTGCTTGTCCCCACCCCTTAGTGAAAGTGCGCTCTGTGTTTGCTCTGTGTTTGGGGATAGGCGCTTTGGGTGCGTTTTTCTTAAGTGTGGTTTTCAAGGAGAGCTCAGATGAGACACCTGTCTTGCTCTGGGAACGCGCAGGCTGAGATCTCAGGCTTGTGGGGTGCTTCAGCACTTCAGGGATCGGTCCAGACATTAGCTACGGAGTCAGTTCAGAAAGCGGACACCGCTCGTTAGCTGGTGTCTGTGTCTCCCGGGAAGTTGGTGTGGAGCTGGAGCAGTAGCCCCTCAGAGCCCACCTGAGGGAGGCAGCAGTGATGTGGCAGGATGGGTGATTGCTGGAGAGTTGTTCTTGGAGGAGGTCTCTTCTGCCTCGGTCCCCCACAGCACTTGAAGCAGAGGGCTAGAGTCCATCCCCAACCCTTGGCCTCACTAAGATCTCATCAGAGGGCTGAAACAGGCCGGGCGAGGTGGCTCACGCCTGTAACCCTAGCTCTTGGGAGGCCGAGGCGGGCGGATTGCTCAAGGTCAGGAGTTCAAAACCAGCCTGAGCAAGAGCAAGACCCCGTCTCTACTATAAATAGAAAGAAATTAATTGGCCAACTAATATATATAGAAAAAATTAGTTGGGCATGGTGGCGCATGCCTGTAGTCCGAGCTACTCGGGAGGCTGAGGCAGGAGGATCGCTTGAGCCCAGGAGTCTGAGGTTGCTGTGAGCTAGGCTGATACCACGGCACTCACTCTAGCCTGGGCAACAAACCGAGACTCTGTCTCAAAAACAATAAAAAAGGGGCTGAAACAGCTTAGTGACCAGGAGCTCTGAGACACCAAGTGACAGAGTCCTTTGTTGAGAAGCAGGTGAGGTCTGGTGTTTTAAGAATGAATCAGGCCCTATCCTCAAAAAGCTGTATGACTTAGGTCAGTGACCCCACCTCTCGGCTCAGTTTGTCTGCAAAGAGGATGTAAGCAGTACCTAGCTCACAGAGCGTGAGAGAATTGAATGAGTTAGTTCACGCAAAGCCTTTGGTGTGGCACCTGGCGTGTGACGAGTACAAGACAGATGTTCTCTACTGACTTCACTCTGTTTTGCCTTTGGGGACGATGGCACTTCCATGGTCCTCGGCATGTTTCAGGAGGGTCGTCTTGTGGTTTCCATTCAGTCCAAATGCCCGAAAGGGAAGGAGGGAGTCTTCTCTCCCTGCCACTAACCTAGGGGCTGCCTAGGGAGTCACAGACCAAGTTGTGCCTCTTTTTTTTTTTGGAGACATAGTCTTGCTTTGTTGCCCAGGCTAGAGTGAGTGCCATGGCATCAGCCTCGCTCACAGGAACCTCAAACTCCTGGGCTCAAGTGATCCTCTTGCCTCAGCCTCCCGAGTAGCTGGGACTACAGGCATGCGCCACCATGCCCGGCTAATTTTTTCTATATATTTTTAGTTGACCAACCAATTAATTTCTTTGTATTTTTAGTAGAGATGGGATCTCGCTCTTGCTCAGGCTGGTTTTGAACTCCTGACCTCGAGCAATCCTCCCGCCTTGGCCTCCCAGAGTGCTAGGATTACAGGCGTGAGCCACCGCGCCCGGCTGTGCCTCCTTAACGACATGTTCTTCCTCAGACAAAGCAACCAGCCAGCTTCTGCTGGAGACAGACTGGGAGTCCATCCTGCAGATCTGCGACCTGATCCGCCAGGGGGACACGCAGTAAGTGGGGGGGCCTGCACCCTCCAGCCCTGGGTGGCCGTGTAGTGCACTGGGGTTGCTCCGTGCCCACTGACCCTCCAGGCTTCAGCTGACCACGCTAGGCTCTCATGTGGAGAGGCGTGTGGTCTGCGTGCTGGGAGTTTTCTCCAGACAGCTTGGAGGTACCTGGTTATGTTAATATTTGCTTGGGGGTTGTCCAGAACCAAGATGGGGAAACACTTCTCATCTGAGCTGCTGAGACTGCTCTCTTTTTCCCTTGTTCTCTCTGCTCTTCCCAATGCTGCTTCTCTTTCAGAGCAAAATATGCTGTGAATTCTATCAAGAAGAAAGTCAACGACAAGAACCCACACGTGGCCTTGTATGCTCTGGAGGTAACTAGACCCCATACTGTGGTAGCCTCTTGCCTCCAACCTCAGGGTTCCCCGCTGCCAAACAGTCAGGACAGCACCAAGATGAGTGAGCCCCCTGGCTTTGCCCACTTTGCCAGGCATACGCCAGAAGAGCGCCTTCCCAGCCTTGGGCGCAAACGTGAGCAGTGCTGCTTAGGAGCAGGGTCGCACTGAGGGAGGGATGGGACGGGGCAGGAGCGGCTGCTGCTTCTCCAGCACGTACGCCAGGAGCAAACTCCTGAAGATGGAGCTCGTTGCTGTTCTTGGCTTGGAGGGAGCATGCGCAGCAGAGTTGCTGCTCGTCTCGGAGCCGCCATTTGGGGTTCCCTGTAGGCTGGGTGGGCTGACGGGCCTGTCAGAGACCTGCCTTACAGGGAGACGGATCCGTCCAGGAGGAGGAGGGGTCCTGCCCCGACCATTTCCCCACCCTTCCCTTCCTTGGGTCTGCAGGTCATGGAGTCTGTGGTGAAGAACTGTGGCCAGACAGTCCATGACGAGGTGGCCAACAAACAGACCATGGAGGAGCTGAAGGAGCTCCTGAAGGTGGGTGCTCCTGGGAGCAGCGAGGCGGGGACAGGGGTGGGTGGTCACCCAGGCTGGCTCCTTTGCTTTTTCGGCATGTTTATTGGCCACCTATGTGAGAACAGTGCTGGGTGTGGCAGAGGTCAGGAAGGTGGGTGTCCATAGCCCCTGTGCCGCACGAGCTCATGCTCAGGCCTGGGGAGAGTCCGGTGTGTGAGTCCCAGTCCGGCGATGGCATGGCTTTGACAGAAGCCGGCCCGGGGGCTGTGTCTGGGGCACGGAGGAGACACTCGGTCTTCTTGGGGGCTGAGGAGGCTTCCAGGAGGGAGGGCTCAAAGCGGAATCTTGAAGGACAGTGGATGCTCATGGGGGGGGGAAGGGGGGGCAGAGCAGGTGGCAGAGGCTGCTGTGTGTGAGCAGAGGCCTGGGGGAGGCCCAGAGGGTTGGGGCCAGGTCCTACAGGCAGGACCTTGGAGGGATTGGAGTGGGGAGTACGTCAATTCAGGTGTGTTTCCGGGACGTTTAGGAGGGAAGGTGACAGAGCAAGGAGCTGCCTGGGAGAGAGTGGGCTTCATGCCCTTCCCCTTTGGCCGAGCAGGAAGAGCCCTCCAGATCTCCAGAGATTGTCCCTGGGGGCACCTGCAGGGATTATGATGTGGGCGCTGATGCAGCCGGGGTAGTGGAAGGGCAGAGGTGACAAGGCATCCCACGAGGTGAGGCTGCTCCCCCCGACCTGGGGCTGGGCCTTGGTGTCACTGGAGACTCTACCCTGGACCCATGCTGCCAAGAGCCCAACCTGGAATCCCAGCTGACATCTGGGCCTCTCACAGGCCCTGACTGGCGACTTGGCCAGTCTTCTGGCTGAAAGAAGGTATTGGAGCCTGGCCCTTTTCTCCCATGGGCACGCTTGTCTCATTCCTGCTCGAATCCTCTGAGCTGGCCAACTCCTCTGTGGGCAGGAAAGGGGCCCACTAACGGACAGGGCAGATTGTGGACATGAACTCGAACCCCAGTGCAAGAGCTGCTGTTGGTGTCTCCTTGAAGCAGCCTCTTGTCCTATGCTGTCCTCAGCATTGCGTGTGGACAGCATCCCCGAGAGAGCTCTAGACTGGAGGCTGGGCTGGGCTCTGACCTGGCGGTAGCTCGGGGGTGCCCACTCTGCGTTTGGAGGCATCTAGGGAGCAGCTACACTCTTGCCTGTCCAGGCCATGACTCAAAGGAGAGTTGGTGGCCCTGCAGCACTTCTGCGTCCTCAGCCCTGGCATGAGGCTCCTGCAGTCGGGCCTGGTTGGCTCTGCCTGTTAGAGGCTGGAGGGGCCTGTAGGGAGAGGGAGGAAGAGGTGCACATTTGTAGGCGCAGAGACTTGGCATGGTCTGGCTGCAGGGGGCCTCCTGGTTTCTTGGAGGTCTTAGAGAAGAATCTTGGCCCTGAGTGAGTGTAGACAGGCATGAGGGATGGACCTCAGGGGCCTGTGAACGGGTTGGTGCTTGGCCCCCACATCCCACATGTGGGCTCCTCTGGCCTCGCCAGCCTCTTTTCAGAGCCGTGGGGTCTTGCCAGCCACTTCCTCACGCTGACACCTCTCTTTTTCACCTTGAGTCCTCTGTGATCCTCACCTCCTCCCTGCTCTGCAGAGACAAGTGGAAGTAAATGTCCGGAACAAGATCCTGTACCTGATCCAGGCCTGGGCTCATGCCTTCCGGAACGAGCCCAAGTACAAGGTGGTCCAGGACACCTACCAGATCATGAAGGTGGAGGGTGAGTCAGGGCAGAGGTGAAGGGTCCATTCCAAGGCTCAGGACTGCTGGGCAGAGAGAACCCAGTGGGAACAGTGACACAGGGCTGGGGAGGTATAGCTGGTCCTCACCCAGTGAGTGGTGGCAGGAGTGGGGAGGGCCATGTTCCAGGAGCCGGGGACCGCACAGGGAGGGAGGGCCAGCTCAGACACGCTCCTGCCTTTCCGGACCTCACAGCCCACAGAGCAGGGGCAGACGGTGACGGCAGACAGCCCTGTTTCAGAGAGTGATGTGGCCCCTGGAGAGCTGGTTTAGGACGAGCAGTCAGGGAAGGCCTCTCGAGGAGATGGCATGAGCAGATGGGCCAGCACTGGCCTTGGAGCACGCACAGGGTCAGAGGCCCTGGGGCTGGTGTGTTTGGGGGAGAGTATGGACTGGGTGCGCTCTGAGGCCTCCTGAGCTACGGGCTGGAGTTGAGTGCTGCCCTGAGCCCAGCAGCAAGTCACGGCTGGGTTTTAGTCCTGCCGAGGCAGCGAGCTGTGTGTTGGGCCCCTTGTCTGCGTTCCTCCTGGCCGTTGAGGTGGCTGTGGAGAGCAGGTGGGGTGAGGAGAGGGACAGTGGGCTCAGGGCGTGTGTGGAGGTCTCTGCTGGTGCTTGGGCCTGGGCTCCTCCCCTCTGTGCACCTGCTCTGTGGCCTGGAGTCTGGAGAATGGGCAGGGTGGCTCTGGTGGGCCGCATGTCCCTGCCGAGGTAGATTGGAACCTGCCCGTGGCTGTGGGTGGGCAGGGCCGGTGTTCGGAGCCTGGTGAGCTGCCTTGGGCCCAAAACCCCAGGGCGTCACGTGTGGAGGTTGTACACACTCACGTCCACTTACTTGGGGAGCAGGTCCAAAGTTTTGTGGGATTTGTAAGGGACCTGTGCCTCAAGGAAAGCTCAGGGCCCCTGTTCTGGGGAGCAAGGGAGCTCTGGCTGGAGAGCAGAGGGTGAGGCTAGGCTGCGGGGGCGTCGGGAGGTGTTGCAATGGGGTGGGGGCAGAGCTGTAGGCAAGAGGGTCATGGGCGCTGGCTCTCATTTGCTGCAGCACCCAGGGCACAGGCGCTGGGGGGATGCCAGCCTGGGGTGAGGCTGCTCCTGACACCCCCGTGCTCGGGAGCACGGTCACTCTGCTGTCTCAGGAGGCGCCTGCCGGCCCTGCGCTCTGGGTGTCCTTGTGTGGGTTGGTTTGGGGAGGTGGTGCCCGGCGTGGGGAAGGGGCTCCCAGAGGTCTGCGCGGCCCAGGGCGGGACTGAGCGGTAACGCAGCCCCTTTCTCCAGGACACGTCTTTCCGGAGTTCAAGGAAAGTGACGCCATGTTTGCTGCTGAGAGAGTGAGTGTTGTGGCGGGCTGGCTGCTGGGCGCCTTGGGTCGAGCTGTTCTGAGGAAGCGGGGGGAGCCCTGGCGTCCAGCTTGTTTGGGGGCAGCGGGGAGCGGTTTCCCTCAGAGACTGGGACGTCGGGCGTTGCTTGAGCAGGAAGCGGGGCTGCGGTTGCAGGTTGAGGGGGACACACGGTTCAAGGCACCTTTGGACGGTGCCTGGGGCTGCACATATTTGGATACATGTTCCCCAGACTGGGGGAGTCTAAACGTTACACCTCAGACGAGGAAGTCCTGGGAAGGGCCCCTTCCTCAGGTCTGAAGCACTCGGGCCGCCAGGGAGGGCTGGGCCTGGCGCAGCAAGTCTCACCTGTGCCGGGTCTGCTCTGGGTCTCGCTCCCATCCGTGGGACGGGCGGGAGGCTCTGCCAGCTCTGGGGCTTGGCGAGGGGTGGGCTGTGTGGTCCTGACTCTGCCTACCCCCAGGCCCCGGACTGGGTGGATGCCGAGGAATGCCACCGCTGCAGGGTGCAGTTTGGGGTGGTGACCCGCAAGGTGAGTGCCCTCCCTGGGGGGTTGAGGGATCTGCTCTATGGCCCGGCCCCTGCCATTCTCACGCACAGCTGGGCAGACTCCAGGTCCCCTGCCGCCACTGAGGCCGCTGCCCCTGCTGCCTGGCCCTGCTCGTTTCCGGTGGTTCAGGAAGCGAGTCTCCCTCACACCCGTGTGGTGATGCGGCATCGGAACGCGGGATCCGGTGGTGATGGTCGGGGCCCTCACCTGAAGTCAGCATGATGTCACTGCCTTGGGCGGGGCCGGCTTCACTCCAGGGACTGGGATATTCCAGACTTGGGCCAGGGCACTCGCTGGTCACTCTTGTGTGTTGCCGTGGCCCGGCGGCCTGTTTCTTTGGTGACTTGGCTTGTCTGGATTCTGATCCCTTGAGCCGTTGTCCCACTCTCACCAGAGCACCTCAAGGCTGGCGGTTGGGAACACGGGGTCCTGGGCGGGGTCTGAGCAGACTCACCGTGACCCACCTCACACTTAAAAGCTCATTTTTTCAGCAAAATTTGTATATATTTTTATTTTACTTTTATTTTTAATTTGCTTTCTTTTCCCCAACACGGTGGCTGCAGTTGAGACTCCCAGACATGTGTCCAGGTTCCCCAGGGCCTTTGTGTCCCCCCAGGGGCCTCTTCCTTCCCCCACTGCCACCCCCGCTGAGAGTCCTGGCTTCAGCGTTGTCTGGGGCACTTCTGGGCTGGGCTGGGCGGGCACGGCAGGGCCATCCCCGGCGCCGGTGACAGGGCCTGCCCCTGCCTCCTCGCAGCACCACTGCCGGGCGTGTGGGCAGATCTTCTGCGGGAAGTGCTCCTCCAAGTACTCCACCATCCCCAAGTTCGGCATCGAGAAGGAGGTGCGCGTGTGCGAGCCCTGCTACGAGCAGCTGAACAAGTGAGTCCTCTGCCGGCATCCGGGCACTCAGGAGGGCGGCGTGCTCTCCGCAAGGCCACCTTCCCCAAGGCCCCTGCACGTCGGCAGAGAGGCTGAGGGGAGCCCAAGGCAGCTGCGCCGCCTCACCCAGTGCCCCAAACTGCAGGGTGGCGGGCGGGTAAGAGTAGGGTGCTGCCACTCCAGGGGGGCCTCTGAGACTGCTCATGGCAAGCCAGTTGCTTGGGCTTGTTTTTTGGGTTGGTTTGCATTTTAATTTTGGGGGAACAAACTTACAGAAAAGTTGTAAGAGTGGTATAAACAACCACATGTGCGGGCCTTCGGCCAGGCCTCAGTGGTTGGTGTTTGGGCACATTTGCGTGGTTCTCTCCCCACGGCCGTGTGCATGTCCCTGTGTGCTTTGCGGTCCACGCTCCATTCTGCCATGGTCCTAGCAGTGTCTCCTGTGGGCTGTCCTTGGTCTGGGTGCACGTGCATTGGGCTGCCACCCTGCCTTAGCCTGCCGCGCATCTGGTTTCGCTTTTCTTTTCGTTTTTTGCTTTTTGTTTTTTATTAAGCAAAAGCGTAAAGGCAACAGAACGTGCCTACAGTCTGTCTTTTGTGACTTGGACACGTCTGAAGAGTCCAGGCCACGGTGGCGTGTCCCCTGTCTGAGGTTTTCTCACACTTAGGTTCAGGTTCTCCGTCCTTGTGGGAGCCCCAGGTGTGAGGCTGTGTCTTCTGGGTATGGCCGGCCCAGCTGGAGTCTGGCTGTGCTGGTGACAGGCTGCTCCCTGGGAAATTCCTTTCCCTTTTTATACTTAAGAGGAATTTGCTTGTTTATTTTTGAGGCAGGGTTTCATTCTGTCACTCGGGCTGGAGTGCAGTGGTGTCATGTCAGCTCACTGTAACCTTGAATTCCTGGGCTCAATCAATCATCCTGCCTCAGCCTTCCCAGCCGTTGGGGCTACAGGCGGGCACCACCACACCTGGCTCATTTATAAATTTATTGAAGAAATGGTGTCTCGATATGTTGCCTAGGCTGGTCTTGAACTCCTGGTCTCAAGCGATCCTCCTACCTCAGCCTCCTAAAGTGCTGGGATCACAGGCGTGAGCCACTGCACCTGGCCAGTGAGAACTTGTATTGAGCCACAGAAGTGCCTCATCCTCCTGGTCCATGCCCCACACGTTTCCCGTCCAAGGGCAATGCTCATGTGAGCTGGTCGTGACTGGACAGTTCCACAACAGCATCTCCTGACCCTGTGTTCCCTTTGCACATGCTGTCGGCCCCCTACCCTCTGCCTGCCCCTATCCTGCTTTAGCGAGAGCCCCAGCCTGGAGGTCCGCACAGTCAGGCCCTGCTGTGAGCACGTGGGCCCAGGGGGCTGCCTGCTCTTTCAGACCCTTGGGGCTGTGGGGCTCTACAGAAGTAGCCTACATGGTCTCCATGGAACTCTAGGAAACTCTGGCTCCACAGTCACGACAGGCCTTGCTGCCCTTGCCAGCACTCCTCAGGTGGGCCCTTCGGTGGCCACATGGTGCGGATTCTGTGGTCAGCGATCCAGGTGCTTTAGGAAGCGCTTGCCTAGCACCCCCGCAGCCTGGCCCAGTGGGTGCTTCGAATTTCCTTTTTTAGGAGAGGGACAGTGGCTTAGGCCCAGTGGCTCACCCTGGGCCCTGTGGCCAGTTTGAGAGTCCCGAGTCCCGTCCTACTCTTCTCAGGGGCGTGGCCTGTGGAACCCCCGTCATTGCTCCATGGGGATGGTTAGAGGGATCCCTGGGTGCTGTGGCTGAGAACCTTGGCAGGGGCAGGCTGGTGTCGCCTGCAGCATCCCATTGTGCCTCCAGGAAAGCGGAAGGGAAGGCCACCTCCACCAGCGAGCTGCCCCCGGAGTACCTGACCAGCCCCCTGTCTCAGCAGTCCCAGGTACCCAGCCCCCAGCCCGTGGGTGCCTCTTCCTGGGGCCTCCCTCACGCACGCTCACCCAGCCCCGTTTCTCCTCAGCTGCCCCCCAAGAGGGACGAGACGGCTCTGCAGGAGGAGGAGGAGCTGCAGCTGGCCCTGGCCCTGTCGCAGTCAGAGGCCGAGGAGAAGGAGAGGCTGGTGAGCCTGGCGGGGGCCAGGCCTGGGAGCAGGAGCCCCAGGGCTTTCCTGGAAATACAGGGGGGGGGGCCCTCTGGCCTCGTCCCATGCTGTGTGCTCCCCTGTGACGCGCCTTCGCGTTTCTGCTTCAGAGACAGAAGTCAACGTACCCCGTGTACCCCAAGGCAGACCCCACGCCCACAGCCTCGTCAGCGCCGCCCGCCAGCAGCCTGTACTCGTCCCCCGTGGTGAGCCCCCCTCTGGCTCCGCCTCCGCGGGCGGGGTGAGGGCAGGTGGGAGAGGACACGTCCCTGGGCTGCCCCATCGTGTGGGCCAATGGCAGGGCACAGCCTGGTGGCTCCAGGCTCGTGGCTCTCAGCCCCCCACCCCCCGGGACTGAGGACCCGGGAGAGGCTGGAGGGAGGCATCTTGCTGGAGAGACCTGCCTTTTCCTTGTCCTGCCTAGCCCTCAGGCACTGAAGGACTCGCCTTCCGGGGGATCCGCCTCAGCCCCGCTCTGTAAAATAGGGGTGAGGACACAGCCTGTTTCATGGGTGTTGGTGCTGGGACAGGAGTCTCGAAAGTCATATCCAAGTTCTGTAGGGCTCTGTGGAGGGGCCAGGCCTCAACGGGGCCCAAGAGTTCAGAACAGCCCTGCTACCCGCTGGCCAAGCAGAGCCTCCCTCCCTGCCCGGGTCTCATTTAGCAAAGTTAGGAGCCTCGTGGCATGGGTGACGGCGCGGGCCTTTCTCAGATCTTGAAACCCCGCCGTCTAGAAGAGGAAGAAAGATGCCTGCTCAGACGCCGGCAACGAGAGGAGCGTGCGGGGCAAGGCAGGCACCCAGGCAGGGGGCCGCGGCTTTGGCCAACCATTACTGGTGCCACCTGAGTCCCTGCCCAAGGGACTGCTGGGCCAGGCCGCTGCTCCTTGGCCTGTGACCCCTCCGAACCTTGTGTCTCCCCAGAACTCGTCAGCACCTCTGGCTGAGGACATCGACCCCGAGGTAAGAGCCCCAGTGTGTGGCATTGTCCCCTCCCTGCCTCTGGCCTTGGGGTGACCCTGCTTGTTGCTGCGCAGCTCGCGAGGTACCTGAACCGCAACTACTGGGAGAAGAAGCAGGAGGAGGCGCGGAAGAGCCCCACGCCGTCTGCGCCTGTGCCCCTGACGGAGCCAGCTGCGCAGCCCTCGGAGGGGCACGCAGCCCCCGCCAGCATGGTGGAGGTGAGAGGGCCACTCTCAGTGCTCCTAGACCGCCCTCCCCTGGGAGGGGCGGCTGTAGGACAGGCCGAGGCCCCACTCGCCCTCTGGTCTCTTCCAGACACCCCTTCCGGAGGCCGACTCTCAGCCCGTGGCTCCCACCGGGGGTCCCTACAATGAGGTAAGCAGTGTGCCCTCCGCAGCCGGGGAGAGCATGGCATCTTTGCCAGAGTGGCCCTCTGGCCAGAGGCCCTGCCGTGCCCATGGTGGCCTGTCACAGTAGCCGGGCTGTGGTCCAGGGCTTGGGCCACTCTCTGGAACAGTGTAGATCCAGATGTTCCAGAGTGGCCCAGACCACACGCACGAGTCCTTGCCCTTTCCCGGGGCTTCTTCTGGGCTTTGCTGGCTGTCAGAGGCAGGGACCAGGGCCTTGGGGAGGGAGGCCGGCCCCGCGTCACCAGGCAGAAGGGCTTTGGGCCAGCCCCGTCCTGGCCAGCACTGTGCCTGTGGATGAGAGCCCAGCCTCTGGGGCCTTGGTTTCCTTGTTTGGGGAATGGGGGTGCTCTGTGCCCATGGTGGAGCTGACCTGAGCAGCAGTCAGCTGTCCACCCCTGGCTTGAGCACAGCCCCCTTCTGGGGGCTGCGGAGGCTTGTCAGAGTGGTCCCCACCAGGGAGTCCGTCCTGGCTGGGGGCCTGGCCACACTCAGCCAGCCCCCACTCGGTGTCCCTAGCAGCAGTACCAGAATGGAGAGTCGGAGGAGAGCCACGAGCAGTTCCTGAAGGCCTTGCAGAACGCCGTCACCACCTTCGTCAACCGCATGAAGAGCAACCACATGCGGGGGCGCAGCATCACCAACGACTCGGCTGTGCTCTCGCTGTTCCAGTCCATCAACGGCATGCACCCGCAGCTGCTGGAGCTGCTCAACCAGCTGGACGAGCGCAGGCGTAGGTGCCACGTGTCCCCAGAGGGCCCCAGCCCTGTGGGCAGGGGGTTCTGCAGGTGCCCAGTGTGCGAGGCCCTGGCCTGCTCTGAGGGAGCCAGGCTCCTGCGGGTGCCTCGCTGAGGCCATGGGCTCCTCTGGAGGGTCTCCGCGGGGCGAGGGCCCCATGATGGCCATGCCCTTCCAAGCCCAGGACTGTGTGCGCCTCCCCCAGAGCCCAAGGCCAGCAGTGCTCCCTAGAGAAGGCTGGGCACGCAGAGGCCCAGGTGTTGCCCAGGGCAGAGGCCCAGCGTGGGGCAGCCCGTCCGTGCGTCGTCCACACCAAGAGCTCCTCCGCACCCCGCTGGAGTGGTCAGGCTGCTCTGCCCTCTGCCCGCAGTGCACTACGAGGGTCTGCAGGACAAGCTGGCGCAGATCCGAGACGCCCGGGGGGCACTGAGCGCCCTGCGCGAAGAGCACCGGGAGAAGCTCCGCCGTGCAGCCGAGGAGGCTGAGCGCCAGCGCCAGATCCAGCTGGCCCAGAAGCTGGAGATCATGCGGCAGAAGAAGCAGGTGCGGTGGCCGTGCCGCCTGCGGGCCGGGGAGGGCAGGGGAGGCACCGCCGGCTGACCGCACCCTGTTCCGCGCAGGAGTACCTGGAGGTGCAGAGGCAGCTGGCCATCCAGCGCCTGCAGGAGCAGGAGAAGGAGCGGCAGCTGCGGCTGGAGCAGCAGAAGCAGACCGTGCAGATGCGCGCCCAGATGCCCGCCTTCCCCCTGCCCTACGCCCAGGCACGAGCCGTCCCTCTCACCCTGCCCAGGGACTGCAGGGCTGAGGACCGGCGCTCACCACTGTCTCTCCTTTGTCCCCAGCTCCAGGCCATGCCTGCAGCCGGGGGTGTGCTCTACCAGCCCTCCGGCCCCGCCAGCTTCCCCGGCACCTTCAGCCCGGCCGGCTCAGTGGAGGGCTCCCCCATGCACGGCGTGTACATGAGCCAGCCTGCCCCCGCCACTGGCGCCTACCCCAGCATGCCCGCCACCGCAGCAGGTAACGCAGGGCGGGGGCGGATGAGCCAGACCACTGTTGTTTAACTTTTATTTTAGCCTAATTTACAGAAAAGTTATAAGAATGGTACAAAGAGTTTTCCAAATCCCCCAAACGGTGAACACTTCACATTGGCTTTTTCCTTTCTTTGTGTTCACGTGTACACGAGTACGCTCAGTTCCCTGCCCTGAACCGTTCTAGAGTAAGTGGCACGTGAGAGCCTTTCCTCCTGGAAGCTTCAGACTGTCCACATGAGGCCCCACACCTACAGAGAGCCCCGTTGCATGTGTGACATCGAGCTGTCCTGCCTCGGTTATCTCCTTTAGCCTAAAATGTTCCTCAGTCTGCCTTTGTGTCTCACCACGGTGGACGTTGCTCGGAGTCGTGGCCATCAGCCAGGCCGCCCTCACGTGGGTTCGTCTGGGGTTTGCACTCTGTGTTCTGGGCTGCACTTTGTGTCTTAGTGGCCCAGAATGACACCGTGTTCCTTGGGGAGCCACAGGGCATCCCTTCGCCCCAGTGCCGGGTGTGTGGTTGAGGTGTGGTCTGCCTGGCCTGGTGTCTTCACTGTGACCTGGGTGTCTCCCTTTGTCATCTACAAGTGTCCGTGGAGGAGACCTGGTGTCTGGCAGACACCAGACACCTAAAGCTCCTAAAGCCCTCGCCCACTGGCTTGAGCCTTTTTTTTTCCCTGAATGTTAGTTACGATGTTTGCTAAATTGGTAGTAACACCTTCCTAGTTCTGCCGTTGTCTTCCCACTGGAGGAGATGCTTTTCTTCTATTCGTTGTCATTTATATTGGTGTGGACTTGTGGCTCTTAGTTTACGCAAAAGGTTACTGTCCTTTACTATCTTTTTTTTTTTTTTTTGAGTCAGAGTCTCACTCTGTTGCCTGGGCATCAGCCTAGCTCACAGCAACCTCAAACTCCTGGGCTCAGGCGATCCTCCTGCCTCAGCCTCCTGAGGAGCTGGGAGTACAGGCATGCACCGCCATGCCCTGTTAATTTTTCCAATTTTTAGTTGGCCAATTAATTTCTATTTTTTTTTTTTCACAGAGATAGGGTCTCGCTCTTGCTCAGGCTGGTTTCGAACTCCTGACCTTGAGCGATCCGCCCGCCTCGGCCTCCCAAAGTGCTAGGATTACAGGCGTGAGCCACCGCGCCCGGCCAAAGTCTTTTTTTGAGACAGGGTCTCACTATGTTGCCCAGGCAGTCCTCGAACTCCTGGGCTCAAGCGATCCTCCTGCCTCAGCCTCTCAAGTAGCTGGGTCAACAGGTGCTGCCACTGCACCCACCTTGGTCATAGTCTTAAAGGCAGATGCTAGTGCGCACACATGTCCACATCTGCAGAAAGTAAAAGCCACAGATTTACTTGGTCCATGGCTCCCACAGAAGACATGGAGCTCCACTCAGTGGATGTTGATCACAAATGTGAAGCAACTCCCTTGGGTCTGAGCACGGGTTCTAGACAAACGTCTTCCCTGGAGGCAGTAAGATGGAGGCTGAGGCCTGGGAAGAGAGAACCAGTGGCCTAGCCTGCTTTCCCTCCACCCAGATGGCGCCCCCGGGCAGCACCCCCCAGCAGCAGCCCCCTGTGGCCCAGCAGCCATCTGCGCAGGGACCAGTGGTGCAGAGCAGCGAGGCCCAGCTCATCTCGTTCGACTGACCCAGGCTGGGAGTCCACGTCCAGAGTAACACTAGGTTCACCCAAACCGCCTCCGTCTCTAACTAGCCGTCGTTCCCACCCCCTTCTCTACTGCCCATAGCATCCCTTCCCTGCAGGGGGAAGGTGGGCCTCATCCTGAACCTCCTGCCTTTCTGTCCTCAGCCTGTTGCCATCCCTGAGTTAGTCTCTGACTTCTTTCCCCAGGGCTGGGCCTCGGGGAGGGAAGGTGGGAGAAAAGGACCACCTCCAAGGGCGAGCCCCCAGGCGGTGTGTCAGGGTGTGCGAGGGGTGGCTGGAGTGGGACCCTCTGCCCCAGCACAGCCCGGGCTCTGGCCCCACTGCCAGCTGCCGTGGGCCTGGGGCTTCTCTTGGCCCCTCCACAGCTGAGCAGGGAGGCCCCAGACATCATAGCTTCTCTGCTGTCATCTCCTCCAGCGCCCCAGAACGGAACGTGATAATAAAAAGTATTTCAAGAAGGATCAGTGTCTGCTCATAGAGGGTGGGGTTTCAATATGAATCTTGGGGGGCAAAAGGGCGGGGGACCCCTAATCTTTGAGAAGGGGGAGTCCACCCTTGGTCACAACGGAGCTCTGCCTTCTCCCTCCCCGAGACCAAGCGCCATGATCTCCCTGCGCGGCCCGCGGCGAGGCTAAGGCTGGGAAGGGAGGCTGGCCCGGGGCCCTGTGCCGAAGTCGGGAGACTTGGCGCCCCTCAACACCCAACGTTCGTCGACCAGGGCAGAGGGCAGGCCCCAGGGAGGCGGGCTTCCCCAGAAAGCCTCCTGTGGGCTTGGACTGAGATAGGGGACTGAGCCAGGAGCGCGGAGTCCCGCACCCCAGCAACAGGCAGAGGGTGCGACCCCACAGACGGTGGGAGCCGGGCTGCTGTCCTTCCCGACTGCGCCTGCGCGGCGCGACGCGCCGCCTTGTGGGTAACCTTGGGGTGAGTGGTGGCTAGAGCGTCCTTCCTCAACTCGAATGCCCGGCGGCCGTGGTGGCTAGAGCGTCTCCCCAACTCTATTGCGTGGCGGCTAGAGCGTCCCTCCCCAACTCGAATTCCCGGCGGCCGTTGTGGTTAGAGCGTCCCTACCCAACTCGAATGCCCGGCGGTTGTGGCGGCTAGAGCGTCGCCTCCTTCTGGGGAGCCGCGTGTGACCTTCCAGCCGCGCACCAATGCTGCCGGCAGCCGCTCGCCCCCTGTGGGGGCCGTGTCTCCGGCTTCGGGGCGCCACGCTGCGTCTCGCCAGGTACCGTGGGGACCTGGGGCGCCAGGACGGCGGCTGGCAGGGTGGGGGCGGCCGGGCTTTGGGCGGGCCGGTCCGGAGCCGGGTGGCAGGCCTGCCCAGTCGGAGGGTCCCGCCGGCCGCGTGGGGCGGGGACCTCCGACTGCGCACCCCCGTCCCGCGCGGACCGCGGGGAGTGCGGGAGTCGGCCCCGTAAGACCTTGGATGAGTCCCGCCCCTCTCCGGGCTGCAGTTTCTTCTGCAGCAGAGTCCCCTTGGTGCAGGCGGCGCTCTGCGGCCGAGGCCCCGCGCTTGGAAGGCTTTACGCCGCGAAGTGCGCCCAAGTGCTTACTGCTCTGGCTTGGCGTTTGGGGTGGTAATGCTGCAAATCACCACGTGGGTTTCTCAGGTTTATTTGGGAATTTATCGTAGCTGGGGGGCCCCTTTATGCTTGTGGACCCCTGGAGGTCTGAGAACCCTGGGCTGGGACCACGGAAGTAGGTCATTCCCAACCCTGGTGAGCACCGACCTGAGCTCGTGGCATTTCACCAGTCCCCTTGGTCTCTGCCCTGCTCCCCGGTCTCTGTGCACTCCCCTCCCCTCCAGGACTGACGGCTCTATTTGAATGGGGGGCTAGGCAACAGGTGCCTGGTGTCTGTGTGGTGCGACAGATGAGGAGCAGTAGCCATCGGAGGGGTGAAGCCTTGGCCGGTGCACCACTGGATAACGCCCCCAAGGAGTATCCCCCCAAAATCCAGCAGCTGGTCCAGGACATCGCCAGCCTCACGCTCCTGGAAATCTCGGACCTCAACGAACTCCTGAAGGTATCAAGAGAACGGCACAGATCAGAGACCCGGAGTGAGGCCTGGGGGCCGCCGTGTCTTCTTCATGGTGTATTTTGGGAGTTTGGTGAATTGTCAAAAGTGTGCTTCCCAGGGTGCAAAGACCAGGTCCCACTTGCCGTTGTCTCTTAGCATGTTTGGGGTGTCATGGCTGGCTACTGAAACCGTCCTCTGTCTCTGCAGAAAACGTTGAAGATTCAGGATGTGGGTCTCTTGCCGATGGGTGGTGTGCCTGGTGCTGTCCCTGCCCCAGCAGCCCCTGAGGTGAGCCGGGCCAGGGTCCTGGGCGGAAAGAGGCATTTCTGTGATTCCCTATTCACCTGTGGCCATGGATGTGGCAGCCACATCCCTCTTGCTGGCCCTCATCCCGGGCTCTGCAGCCTGCATGTCTGTGAGTGCTTCCCATGGTGCTCCCCTGCAGTCCCCAGGACTTCCTACCTACTGAGGATGCGCAAGTCTTTGCTGAGTAGAGACCATGTTTGTAATGGAGGGAAGCAGGCAAAAGAGAGCAAAAGGAAAGGAAGAAATTACATCAAATAGTTGAATTATATTAGACATCAGAAAAAAGGAGGGAAAGAGACCGGGCATGGTGGCTCACGCCTGTAATCCTAACACTCTGGGAGGCTGAGGCGGGAGGATTGCTCAAGGTCAGGAGTTCAAAACAAGCTGACACAGGCTGGCATCTCTTGGGTGCTTCCTACTTTCCAGGCTGGGTGCTCTGAGCTCTTCCTGCACATGCTCAGCCCTACAACCAGCCATCTCCCCAAGGAGCCTGGTTCCTTCTAACGAGAGGGTGGTGTTTAGAAGCCAATATCTGGGTTCCAGGTGTCTTCATGTCTTCTGGTCCTTAGGGCTTGAAAATGCATATGTATATACAAATACACGTGGGTACATGTATGTGCATCTGTCCATACATGGTAAGAACCAAGAGTCTGTTCTGACACCTCCAGTTGCCATCCAGCAGCAGTTTCTTCCCTCACGGTATTAAGTATATTTCCTCATTCCTAGAGTGGCACTAAGAAACTAGTTTCAGGAATGCTAACCTGGGCGCCTGGGACAGACATGCCTCCTTCCTAACGAGTTTAGTGTTTGTGTGTAGCCTGAGGCCGTGGGGTCCAGAGTCTGACTGGGGTTGGCTCTCCTACCCCCTTCCGCACGAACACCTCACTCATTTGGAACACAGTGGGTTCAGTTTGTCCGACTTCATTCCATTTTAGGATCCTCCTTCCATCTTTGTTAGTTTTTCTTTTTTGTGAATGTGAAACATGAACTTGGTTCCAAAAGTCACAACCAAAAGGAAAAGTCAGAGAAGGACACCCCCTCCTCCCTATTACCTCATGTGCTGAACCACCTCGTCTGTCTTATCTGGCACAGATCCCAGCATGGTGAGTGCCTACATGTACCCAGCAGGGGCTGCTGGGGCGCAGGCAGCCCCCCAGGCCCAGGCCGGGCCCACCGCCAGCCCCGCCTACTCATCCTACCAGCCCACTCCCACACCGGGCTACCAGGTACGTGGGCAAGGCTGCTCCCTTCTGCCCTGGCCAGCCCCCGCCCCCACCCCTTTTCTCATCACCCCTGTTCTCTATGCAGAACGTGGCCTCCCAGGCCCCGCAGAGCCTCCCAGCCATCTCACAGCCTCCGCAGTCTGGCACCATGGGCTACATGGGGAGCCAGTCAGTCTCCATGGGCTACCAGCCTTATAACATGCAGGTAAGGGGACCTGGATCTCCTGCTGGGCTAGGAGGGGGCAGCCCTGCCCCTTCCCCTCTTCTGGACACCTTTGCTGGTCAGCTGTTAATCACTCTAACCCAGAAATGGCCCCACCTATGTGGGCACAGAGCTGCCACCTCACACAGGGCTCCATTGTACCCCACAGAATCTCATGACCACCCTCCCGAGCCAGGACGCACCCCTGCCGCCCCCGCAGCCCTACGTCCCAGGGCAGCAGCCCGTGTATCAGCAGGTGAGCCGTCTGTGTGCCCCACCATGGCACTGACTGAGCAGCCTCAGGCCTCAGGGTTATGGGTGGGCCTCCAACCCCAGTGGGCACCAGCTCACACGGG